CTGCGTCGCCCATGCGGTGCAGACCGCCAGCGTGTGCTAGGCCGAGTCCTCACTGCAGTCGCAGTGGTGGCAGGTGGGACTCGATTCCCTCCTAGCGACCGAGTACAGGTACTTTTCGAAGCAACCGTGCCCGGAAAGCACCTGCGTCAGCCGGAAGGTAAGGGTCCCGTGCTGCCGCCCTGCCCACTCGGCGATGACCGGCTGGAGGGCCTCCACGGCGACGAAGCCAGCGCGTGGAGTCTCCAGCCAGAACGACCATCTCATCATGGTGGCTCGGCGAGCGGCTTCGCGCCACTCGCGCACGTTTTCGGGTGGAGGGCGAAATCCGCTCTCCGCCCGGAAGTCAGCCACTCGCCGATACACTTCGGCGAGCACTTCCGCCTCCAAATCCCACGGGGGTGTTCCGGCCAAGGCGCAGGCCGCCTCGGTGAACACCATGCGGTATCCGCGTATGGCTCTGATTCTCTCTATTCGGGGCGGTGAGAGCCGCCACCCACACCGGTGCACCATACAGCGCCAGCGCCTCAATCGAGGACCGAGCCGACCTCGATTGAGGCGCCGGCGCGTGGACCACGACGGGGCCCATGAAATAATAGAGCCTCCGTCTTATCCAGGGCCACCCGCAAACCCCACGCCTCAATGCGCCCGACCACCAGGGAAACTCCCGTAGCGGCCAGGCGCGCCGCCTCCTGGAAGTTAGCCCCCCGGGCCGTGACTAAAGTGTCATCTGCGTAGCAGAGTACACCCAGCCCGGGGGGGAGACGCCCTCGTAGGGCCCAGTCGTATCCAATGTTCCACAGGAGTGGTCCTAGGACAGACCCCTGCGGAACACCGCACGACATGGCCCTGCGTCTCAAGACACCATCTCGGTCCTCGTACATGACGGTTCGCTCCTCAAGATAATCTGCCACCAGCCGCCTCAGGTACTCCGGCACTCCGTGGTAGCGAAGCTCTTCCCTGACCACTTTGGGAGCCCTGCTCTAAGGGCTGCTATTATGTAAGTGTAGACTTGGGATAAAAATTTAATAAGTAGACACTTACTGAGTAAAAAGATTATGTAAGCGCATTTGTTTTTTGTTTTTGATTACTTTCGTTATGTTAAAATAACGTAATAAATGAAAATTCAGATTAAATTAAGATTAACAATTTTAACCTATTTTTTTAAATTATTTTACAGCTTTATTATATCTCTCTTATATCTCTAATTTCCATTTCATTTCTAAATAAAGATATTAAATATGGATTAGTTCTGTATATCTACGAGTAGCAGATAAACACATAACGTAAAAGTAGATAAAAATAATCTTTGAAGCTGTTTGTAAATCGTGTGAAAATTCCAGCTCAATCGATTGAAAACTTTTTGTACACAAATCAACTTAACATTTTTGAGTCATTATCAACAGCCTATAACAGTCCACTGCTAGACATAGGCCTCTCCTTAGAAAGGAGGTTTTGGCCTACAATGCCACGTTAGCCAGACGGGTTGGTATAGGCTTTGTTTTAATTTTTCCTTCTCTTTGCAGTGCTGTTTCTTTGTTTTTGAGTACATAGATAGATTATTTGTTAAAAGTAAAGTTAAAAGTATAAAAAACAGGGGTCTAATCAGCTGTAGAGTGGTGTGTGAGAATTGCTCACTCTTGGTTTCATTAGAATAACCTCTCTGTTCAATAGGCATTTATTATAGTTTCGTTCTGTAAGTCGTTTATAGTAGATCATTATCAATACTAGTTCGGACTCTCTCATGTTGAATGAACTCAAAGTTGACGGTGACTTAAACCGGCTCATCGTCACGACCGGTTCCCTCTACAGCTACGGACCCCCTAAGTAACTTATTTCGTTTAATCTTCATATGATAAGTGTGAAAGAAAACTTTCATATCGCGATGCAGATTCTCGATTCTGATTCGTCGGTTATCGTGACGTCACCATGAATCATCTATGGGAAAAGTAGGTAAGTTCAACAAATAGAATTTGTGTTTGATGAATTGTGTGGTGCAGTGGAAGAGCATTCGATTTCAAAGTTCGTTTGATGGATGGTCGTAAGTTCGATTCTCACTCAATTTCATGAGCCTATATATAAATCGATTTGAATTATTGTGTGTTTTAACCAAAGTAATTCAACTGAGTATTTAGCTCTGTGTTAAATATTTCTAAATTTTACTTGTCCTACCTCCCAGAGTTAGTGGGTATTGGCTCTCCGGCAATCTCAGTTTGCTTTCAACTCACTAGTTCAAAAATCTGAAGAGTTTGATTTTAAGGGTGGAACCTCGTTTACAGATAAAAAATACTTACCTACTTAAGTGATTATAAAGGTTTTATAGCCCACTATAATAATTAATTATTTCCAGCTGAGAGTAGGTATTGAATTTGTGAACGCCTGAAAACATACCAATTTCCTAAGAGAAATCAGAAATAATAAAGGCGGTCGCATAAAAGCACATGACAAAAACATACTACACTAACTGTTCTATAATTTAATTTTTTTCTATTTACAGTATTTAGTATCACCAATTGTTTATAACACAAAAACTACAATTCTCGAGGTGTGGTAGTTGTACAATTACGCCCAGACTAAGAATGCGATGCACGGCTTCCTTCCCTCGCATCGAAACATCACATCTGTTAAACGTATAATATACCTGTGTTAATGCCGAGCGGAAAAGTCAATAAAAGCTATTATACTCCATACATTAATATAAGGCTGATTAATCAATGCCATAAATAGAAAATACAGCTCAGACGCGAGCTTTAATTTCCATTTTATAAAAAGCTTCGCCCGTCAGATAGATGTCGCTATAATTTACCATCAATATGTATATAGGACAAGAGAACTTTTTTTTTACTACTACTTACTAGAACTACTACTACAACTTTTTTATTTGATCAGAGCCAAATCCTACAGGTGTAGGATTTGGCTCTGATCAAATAAAAAAGTTAAGATGGAACTTTGTGAAGACGAAGTGACGCCAGTTTTATAAACATGTGTGCGTAGGGCCGGAGCTGCCATCATAATTTTAATTTATTGAAAATATTGGTTTTAACGCTTACTTATGTGTGAAATGCGATCCCATCCTACCATCTTTCTCTTGTAGTTTGATTTTTACACCCTTTCACAACACAATTCGGAATTTTTCCTAGTCATTTTTAATGACGTCTTGACTGACAAGGCGTAGTTTCGTTGAGCGTGTGTGTCTTTAATTGTGTATATACACACCAAAGCGTAGTTTTAATTGGCCTCACTTCTTCGTTCACAGAGTACCATCTTAACTTTTTATTTGATCTGAGCGATTTGGTTAGAATCCATTAGTAGATTAGAATTTCATATAATCTATATAATAGTTTTGTATTCCGTGACTACTGTCGCAAACCAGCGATATGAATGTAGGTACTGCCTACATTAACAATATTTCATTGAAATCGGGGTTTCACAAATGATTAAAGTTTAAGTTTGTAAACCATTTTACATTTCTGATTAACTCAAATTATAGCATTTTAAGTACGCTTTACGTAAATTTAATGACAAAAGAACATTTCAACTACCTAATCACAAATTGTTGAACTTGGTTAATTGAATTTGTAATTATGTAGTTTTGATATATTTGTGTTAAATTTAAGAAAATGTTTGTTATATTCAACCTTTTATATTTTTGTGAGTATATTTGTTCTCTATTTTCTTATTGACGGGCCTGTTGGTATAGTGGTGTTTCCAATTCAATTCTTAGGTGTCTATTGTGTGGGGGGGGGTCGTCTACTCGCCTGTAGATGGCCCGAGGTATGTCGGGGCACCAGGGACTTCTTTTCTAGGGTATACCTGGTTCCCCGGCTATTAGTACCCGCGTGCGGTTTTAGTCGGTTCGAGTCCGACATGCCACCGATAGGTGGTATCCGAGGGGATTTCCGCACGGAAAAAAAAAAAGGTGTCTATTGTGTACCTATTCATACTATATTTTTAAGTCCGAATAAGTTTAATTTTGGTTATTTTTAATGAAAAATAGTGTAATTTTGTTAAATATAAAATAAAATAAATATCCGTGTGGTTACGGATTAAGAATACGGAGTGTCACAACCCCTATTCATTCCGTGGGTGTCGTAAAAGACTAAGGAAGGTAACTACGCAATACAACAGCACTGCAAAAGAAGCAAAATTTGACAAAAATCTTATACCAACCCGTCTGGCCAGCGTGGTATAGTAGGTCAAAACCTTCTTTCTAAGGAGAGGCCTGTGTCCAGCATTGGACTATTAAAGGCTGTTGATGTGATGATAAAATAAGTAGCATTGTATTATAAATTATTGAAAATAGGAAAGGGTTTTTCCCTTTTAAATATTTAAATTTTTATTTGATAGATAGATAAATACTTTATATGTACACCAGGGTTTTACAGACTTTATAAAGTAATTTACAACAGATGTAATGTACAAAGGGCGGCCTTATTGCTTAGTGCAATTCTTCCAGGCAACCTGTGGATGGATTCATTTTGAACTGGTGATTGATATACATAAATTAGAGAAGTAAATAAGGTCTTAACCTATGAAATATATTTTTTACATAAATACTACTAGTCTATATTCATACATAAATACTATACATTAGAGACAGATAATGCTCATATAGCATAGCCTTGAAGGTGGTTACGGATTGCGCACGTCTGATAGTAACCGGCAAGGCATTCCATAAACGTACAGCTTCTATGGAAAATGATTTTGTGTAGAAATTGGTAGAATGCCTTGGTATTGCCAATCTCAGGCTTTCAGGGGACCTCAGACATTTAGTGAAAAGATTTAATTTTTAACTGTTCCTATGTACCTATAAGTAGTAGAGTAGATAGTTAAGTAATCTAACTTAACTAACTTACCTTAAAGTACAGAAAAACAAAATTGGCCTTTTGAATTTATTTGTCGCTTTCGTCACCGTCGCTCTAAACAAGCCACAGCTAAAAAACCCAGCTAACGTTTTAACTGTTCATCTATAAAATTTTCCAGTATTCATCCCATCAAACACCATGGCTGGTATCCACGTCCAGGGACACTTGGATGTGGGTCAGGGTTTAGTCCAACTCTTCAATGGCCTTGTGGAACAATTCGAAATCAATCCAAAAAACGACAAGAGAGTACTGGACGATTCTTTAGAAGTAAAACTGGGAGATGACCAAATAAAAGACGACGGGAATTTACATATTGTTGACAGTCCTCATGCTGGAGATCAGAAGAGGATTGGTGATGAGGTACCACTACTGGAGCAACTTAGGAATCAACGGGAAGAAAGTGTTCATTTATATGGACACCATAGTTACGATAAAGTTAGGACAAAACCCTTGAATAAAATCAATGTTTAACTTAAGAAATCAATTAATGAATGTTTAATAACGATTTTTGTTTTAATTAGATAGTTACCCACTTCACAATCAGCAAGTTGACGGTAGGCTAAAAAATGAAAATAACTATTTAATTGAATAGATATATTTGATAGAAAGCGTAAAATAATATAAATGAAGAAAAGATGAATGTTAATTTATTTATTTTTTCCCTAAAAAAAGTAGGATTTTTAGGTCCAAAGATAGCCAGTCCACTCTAGTTTTTTTTTTTTAATTTATAACACTCAGCGTCGTAATGAATGGCGTGGCGACCGCTTAAACCACTACGCCATCCGTGCAGTTAGATTGGGATACCTGAAACCAGTTGGGGCCGGCTGTTTTTTTGAGGTCATCTTCCCAACTAGCTACAGTTCTGCCTCTCCTTCTTTTGTCTTGTGGACCTGCCTATGTGGTCACTCTTTTCGTCCATCTCTTGTCTCGTATGCGCGCTACCGTGTACCAATCTTGGTGATGTGTCTAATTTTTGTGTGTCTTATAGAATAAGAAGAGTCCTATGACCAGCAGTGGACTATTAAAGGCTGTTGATGATGATGATGATGATAGAATAGAAAAGAATCATTTATTTCGTTTAAACATGAGTGATACATTAAAAATTTTACATTACATGAAGATGTTATATAGGTGATATGTACTACATGTGTTACCAGTTATGGCATACGAAATCTAGCAAAAGTTAAGAAGATTAATTACAATGGAAATAAACATTTTCAAATTACTGTCAACCAATATGTCAAAAGAAATAAAAATAATTTCCAAATTAAAATATTACATTGATAAATAAAAAAAATAATTAGCATAAATTAATAAATATCAGAATTTTACCGCAAATTAACATTCATTATTGCAATTCATAACGTCAAGATCATCATATAATAATAATAATATAAGATAATATAATAATATAATAATATAAGATATATCATATTTAAACACATGTCACAACAATACGAACAACATTAATATTATGTACTTAGGTTCGTGTCAGTTAAGTATTCTGCTATGCTATAGTAACATTTACTGACTTAATGTATTTTTTGTTGTCTTTTTAAATTAATTAGGTTTAATTGTTTAAGGTGTTTGGGCAATTTATTATGCCATACAGATAATACTTTTTTGCATTAGTGCTGTACTTGACTTCACAACACACAATCGGTCATTGTCTCGTCTGTGTCGGTTGCTTATAATAGGTAGTTTATTAAACAGTTGTGGATTTAATTTAACAAACATAACCACTTCATATATATACAGCGAAGGTAGGGTTAATTTATTATATTTAACAAAATATGGCATAAAGCTAACGTCTGATTGATGGCCAAACACAGCCCTAATACACCTTTTCTGACATATAAAGAACTGTTCTTTATTTGTGGAGTTTCCCCAGAACAATAGACCTATCTCAAAATTGACTCTGTAATCCCATGATATGCCATGATAAGAGAATCTATGTTAATGGTGTGCGCAAGTTGAGCCATGCTTCGGTACGAATGGGCCGGCTCGACCGGAGTGATACCACGGCCTCACAGAAAACCAATTCTTGAATCAACCTTCAATCAAAAATTGTTAAGCAATTCTTTCGTTGCCTTTCACTGAGTGGGTGAGGTTACCGGAGCCCAAATCCCCCCTTTCGCTGACTCGAGCGAGAAGGACTCCAAGGGCGGCAACGCACTTGTGACTTTTGAGTTGCAGGTGTCCATCGGCGGCGGTAGTTGCTTACCATCAGGTAACTCGTCTGCTCGTATGCCCACTTATACCATAAAAAAAAGAGAGCGTAGACGTTAGAACTTATTCGCCTGCTCAATTGTTCTGTATCTTTTCATACTCCGTTTCTTCGTTGGGTTTGAAATTATTATGTCCTTTGTTTTTTTGGTGAACTTCCACGTTTGGCAAGCATAATTTATTCATGGTATAACACGAGTTTAGTACCTTAATTTTAATTTGGTCGTCATGCAGCTTTTGAATATGTCCATCAATGCCCAGTATTGATACTCTATCTCTTGATCGTTACTATTTTGGTCAAAGCTAATTTGTTTACCCAGGTATATGTAGTTGTCTGTATATTTAAGAGGCTCGCTACCAACATATAGCGTTCTCTTTTTGCTATTAGTCATCAACATTATTTTGGTAAATTTCCAAGACTACTAGTTTTTTGGACTCATTGGGTGATTCTATCACATAGTGGATTTGTGATCCGGTTTCAGATAAGAGGATCAATTCGTCTGCAAATCTTAGGTGGCTTAGGTAGGCTTCTTTGACCTTAATGCCTTGGCCTTTCCAAGAACCTGCATATAAACTGACTATTAGGGAGAGTATGAAAATTGGTGACTCCCACCATAATCTGGAAGGGTGGTTGCTATCCTTACTCACTTGGTGAAAGACATCAAAATAATTACCTAACACTGTTTTTTTTATTTTATGGTATCACCCCTAACGAGCCCCAAATGTGGCAAGGCATGACTCCCACGGTTTTGGAAATTGTCATTGGTAATTAATGTTTATTCAATCTTCCTCCAAGCCTTTTGCCCAAACTAGGTAGAGGTCGGCTTTATGTCTACTACGATAAGGTTGAACTTCGATTGTTTACGTGGATTGTGTGTCATCAGACCTCCAAATTAGGCGATATCGAAGTTCTGTAGAAAGACTGTTGTTAAAGCTCTAACTACCACGAGCCCCTCCGAAAATAAATGTTTATTTAATATGGAAAGGACCGTGTGGTGACGGATTACGAATACGGAATGTCACCACCCCTATTCATCCCGTGGGTGTCGTAAGAGCCGACTAAGGGAACAAACTGCACAGGACAACAGCACTGCAAAAAGAAGGAAAACTTGAAACAAACTGTATCCCAACCCGTCTGGCCAGCGTGGTATAGTAGGCCAAAACCTCCTTTGTAAGGAGAGGCCTATGTCCAGCAATGGACTATTATAGGCTGTTGATGAATATGGAACTAAAATATAAATTATGCAAAGTGAAAATATTATTACTCGGGGAAAAATAACGAAGAACTTAACAGCGGTTTTCGCGCCGAAGCATGGCTTTGACTCTTCTACGGTTTAATATAACATCTTAGGACTTTATATTCTCATGGAAAATCATGGAAGGCATTCTAGTTCTGAATAGCGATTAATTTCGGGTCTGCCCGCATGTAATTCGGTTATAGCGACCACTTTGATCTGAAATATCTCCTCTTTGGTTAAGAATTCCAAATTCAAATTTATAAATTCAATTAGCTGGGCCATTTGAGTTTTGAAAACAGTCATTCATTTGTTTTTTCCTTTTCTTTTTCTTTGGCGTCGTTTATTACCGCACAATGAAAAACATGAAATATCGGTATATTTACTATATGTTCTACCGTAGCACCAGCTGCTAAACAACCGAGATTGGTCAATCGCTCTAGGCCACTGCCGCTTCACGACAACGCAAGACCACACACTGCACAACAAACAACCACTAAGTTAGATGAGCTACAATTGGAATGTCCAACAGATTACCATTTTTTCCGGAATTTGGACAACTTCTTACAAGGAAAAAAATTCAACTCCGATGCGGCAGTCCAAACCGCCTTAAAAGAGTTTATTGATTCTCGCCCTCGTGGTTTTTTTAGTAAACTGATCAATGAACTACCTATGAGATGGCAAAAGTGCATAGATAACAACGTTGCATACGTTGATCAATTAAATATATTTTACAAAAAAAAATGACTTTATATTTTACCCGTACAAAACGCCAACTTCATATGTAAGGACCTAATGTTAGAACGGATTGTACATATATCGATATAATCACAAACCCCGTCTCGAAACAGTATTTAAGTACCAGGTTTATGATAAGATTAATTAAAAAGTTTTATAAAAGAGATTTTTATCGTTCGTAGATATTGGCAGTGCATTACCTTTACCTACTAATTTAATGCTGGAACATACAAGAGTCTAGTGAAACATTCAGTACCTACCTACTTCTGGTACTGTTTGATTCGTCGTACTCAAGATATAAAAGTGTTCCTTCTTAATAATATCTTCAACAATTGATTTTTAAAATGTTTTATGTGATTATGGTACTTTGTGAGTAGAATTTTAACTGAATATTTAGAAATGTTGAACCTACGCATAGTTTTAGCTTTCGTTTCATTACTCGAATGTCCAAAAAAGGAGTGTAATATTGTGAGGATTTGTGTTAGTATGTATGTCTATCATAACTTGTAAACACCTGAGTCCTGAGTAGAATTGGTTGTATGAAGAATCGTTATGATCTTTTTATTTCGATTGTCACTGGCTCTAACTTAAAAAAAAGCAACATAACGACCACACTTCGTTTTTAGGCAGAATAGTGATCGTTTCATTTGATTTGCCTGATGATCGATTTTCATTATTTTAAATATCTATATAATATATAAGCGTTATTTTCTCGTCGACTTAAACCTTTTGCTATTTTTACATATTTTTTAACTTTTTACCCGACTGCGCCAGAAGAAGGGTTATGTTTTTCGAGAGTATGTATGTATGTATAATTGTTGGGCACGCTCTGCAGCCTGAACGGCTCTAATGATTTTTTCACGCAGTCTCACTGCCTAGAATATGACACGCCTCTTGCATCCTCAGAGCCTTTAGAGGCGGAAATGAATGGCGTTATACCGCTCGCTGAGCCACGATGACTCGATGGACGTTCACTCGGCTCCACGTACTGACTCAGGCCTCGTGGGTGCAGCCGGTCATCGTCGAGTGGGCTGGGTGGTATCACGGGTGTTGGTCGGCATGATGAAGCGGCCTCGCTGGATTAGGAGCCCGGAATCTGCTATGGCAGAATGAGCATACACAGGCTTTGCGGGCGGGGGGTGTGAAATTCAGGGCTGTGCTAACCAACGCACCGTCGGAGCCCTCGTCCTAGCTTTAAAGGATGGGTAGGGAGGAAGCCATTGACTCAGATACTCACCGGGCACGGTTATGTCGGTGAGTGTCTTAATCGAATCAAACGGGAGGTCTCGGCTCAATACCTGCGTGTCGAACCGGGACTCCACCCAGCACAGGCTTCAGGTCTGCCCTGCGTGGGAGTCAGAGCGTCGAATTTTGGTAGGACAGATCGGACGAAACTTGTCCCCGCCAGCATTGATCGCAATATTTTTATTCGAAATAAAAAGTTACCACTGAAGGCCAGTACACAAATTTGAAAAAGGACAACGTCTGCAGTGGTGGTATATCTGACATTGCCTCCTGAAGCTAGCCTTAATAGTTCTACTTTTGCAGAATACCCACCAGAAACTAAAGAGCTATGTTCTTAAAGAGCTATAGTAAAAACCCACTATTATTGAGAATCTGTAGGACAAGCGTATAATCTAGGTACAATACTAATACCCATACAAATATTTCAGGGTTATCTTATACGAATGGCTACCACATTAAAGACGCGGTCCCAGTGGATAGAGACGACGATGTTTTGAAATTTGCTCAAAATATCATGCAGGAACTAGGGCCAGATTACAGTGTTGATGAAGTTCATTCAAGAGCATCAGGTTCACTATATAACATGTTTAAAAATATCGGGATGAACATTCTAAAAACTGTAGACGCTGAAAATAGTGATAAAGCACTAGTCAACGATCATTATAAGCCAAGTAGACCGCATAAAGTACATTACCTAGCTGAAGATTTCATCAAGATCCTAATCAAATTTGACCATAAACCTCTTGAAAGAGCTTGGGAGTTTCGCCCAGATATAAAAGCTTTCAAATTCGAAGATTTAATGGGTGATCCTGCTGATAAGTTTAGGTTCTTGAAGCATTTAAAAATTGCAGGTGATATGTACAAATCTATAATAGATTTATGTGAAGCTCAACAATTTACGCTATATAATAGAACAATACCTAATCATCTGATAGTAACAGATCTTATAACAATGGCTGATTCTTACAAAGTAGATATATTAAGTAACACAGGCATACCTGTTGACATATACGAAAATTGGAACTTAATTGACGGTTCTTTGACTGTTGATGATGTACTTGGTAGAGCGGAGGATAGAGAAACCTTTGTGAAAAGTGTTAAAATGTTCGGTGGTGAAGTATTCCAAAACGCATTTGATAATATTTCTACTCATTTGTATGGCATCCCAGTACCTGATCACTTGTACACCGAATGGGTGATAGCTACAGCAAAGAACCTTAATGTGACAATAGTCAGTAACAAAGGCAAACAATTTAATATGAATTGGCATTACAGGCCTGACGATTTTATAGGATACCCTGCTGACAGTTTCGGCGGTTTGGATTTTGTTGGTACCGTTTGCTTGAAGTTATGGGAAATTGAGGATTAAAATAATCAAAATGTGTAAGCTGATGTGTGCTCCTATTCTTAGCCTTATTATTATAATATTCTTGCTAAAAAGTTTATTTTCTTAGGAACCAACAATTGAATTAAATTCTTTTTACATTTGATATTTAAATACTGAAAATTCTAATACATTCTATTAAACAAACATGTGTGTGCAATTCACAAACGGCAGAAGTGAAACTCCCGAATAAAAATGAAATATATATATTTTTTTCATCTCAGAAAAACCCTATAAAATTTTGCCGTGAGCAGGAATCAGCGGGTACCAGCTAGTATTAAATAAATAGGTTAAAATATAAACACTCAAAATATTATTTAAAAATAATGTGTAATATATTCTATCTCATTCTCTCGCCGACTTAATCCTACATTACATTATATTATACATTTTACATTTACATTATACATTTATGTGTTTGTTTCTTTATCGTGACGCATTTTCGTTTCATCGAGTTTTAAATCACAACGATTCTAAAGAAGTTTCACTTCAAAAACATGCCTCGAGACTTGGTCATTCACTAATCTGCAGAGAAATTACACAAATAATAATTTAATAATAGTTCTCAAACTATGGCATAGTTTGAGAACTATTATTAAATAGAGTATTATTGTTTAACGCCTTGATACCGTAATAGGGGACAAACTTAAAAAAAAAACAAACAGTAAATTGTCAATAGCAGAAAGGAGTCGAATTTAGACGTAGAATTAACAAGCATCGATCACATGATTAAAAAAGTCGAAAACAGTTTGCTATTTTCGTGTTACTACTCTTGGAAACGTTTCTGCTGTATTACTTAAGTTACTTATGCAACCATCCCAGGACAATAGTGACTGTAACGAAGACTGCCAGTTGGCCAAGCCTTTTCAAGCTATATTGACCATTGTCGACTAATAAGGCACCTAAAATTCCATACTGTAGCATCGTCATAATAAAAGCATGCAGAAGATGCGGCTATATCTTTTTACTTACTTTTCAATTGTCATTTGGTATTGGAGCTGGATGCGGGAAGGCGAGGATCGAACCAAGTGGTGTGCAATTGAAGCATTGAAGCCTATGTCCAGCAGTGGACTGCGATAAGCTGATGATAATGATAATAGGAACAAAATATTTAAGCAGTAAATATTCGTATTATCTATACAGGTACTGTACATATTACGTGCACAAAATTTATTTAAGATTTGCATGAAAATTAAAAAAAATATGGTATTTTTTATTTTAGCTAATCAAAGTACTGGCCCAAATTATCTGTATTTTTTCCATTTTGTTGGCAGTTTGTTTATCCATTTACTGTAGAAGTCTGCTGACGGGAGCTGATCAAGTCAGCGAAAGCGTCTTGTACTGCCTCTCGGGTTTTGACTTTTTCCAACCCAGGCTTCCCCACCTTTTCCCAACCCCTTTTTTGCTCAGCTGTGACTCTTATAGCTTTGCGATGGTCTGCCGTGAAGTGTGAGCTCCAGCGTTGTCGTGGAGAAGCAATAGGGAAGAGTAATCAACCAGTCGTGGTTGCTGAATTGAGAGCTCCTTCATTATTATTTGCAATTCTTGGCAATAAACATCTGCCGTCACTTATTGTAAGTAACTGTAATATACAAGTCTGGCACTAGTGCACCGAACAGTCACCATCATCTTCCTATGGGTAATCTTTGTCTTAGTGCACTGATTAGGTGCTGTACACACATCCACGCACTAAGATGAACACTTGCGGTTATCGTCCAGAATGCACTTTCCATCACAGGTAATAATTCGAATCAGAATTTCCTCGTTTCTATACAGATTCAGTACTGCTATGCTAGCTTTTTTATCTTTACGATCTGACAAGTGCTTCAATGTTGGTTTGACACTAACTCCAAGGCCCGCAGCGAGCTCAGCGGTAGATTGAGTCGGATCCGCTTCCGCTATGGCCTTCAATGCCTCATTGTTGACTGTAGTTACCGGCCGTCCGCAAGGCTCGTTCTTTAACTCAAAATTACTAGATCTAAAACGATTGAACCAATAATAAGAGCCTGTTTATGCAAGCAGTATTAGGCCCGTACACGTCGTTAATATTTCGTGTTGTTTTCGCAGCAGTATTGCCACATAGGCAACATTGTACGAATTTTCAATTCATTTACCTTTAAAGACAATTTCACAAAAACAAAACACTATCTAAAACAAATGACTGAATTTTTAATTAAAAAACATGAAAAATATAATTAATTTCGAATTGCGCGTTAATCCTCAGATAATTAAATCTGAAAATGCTGGTTTTAACATTTTCAAACTTCATAGCTATTATTTTATGTTAAAAGTGTACATATCATTGACAAGGACGTTATCAGAACCCTACAGTCACTTTAGTATTGCAGAACCGTGGAGTCAAAGTCTAAGTCTGGAGTCTAACACGTGGAACCAGAAGTATTTTACTAATATCAGCCTTTAATACTCGAAGTCAACTGCTGGACATAGGCCTCTCCTTAGAAAGGATGTCTTGGCCTACTATACTACTAGGGTCACCCTGGCCACACAAATTGGTATGGGATTTGTTTCAAGTTTTCTTTCTCTTTACAGTTCTGTTATTCTGCGTAGTTTTCTCCCTTAGTATAACGACACCCACGGGATGAATAGGGGTGCTGACACTCCGTTTTCTTAATCCGTCACTACACGGATACAATTACAAATATAATAGGTTGATGAAATATCACCTCTACCTACATCTAAGGAGGTAAAAAATTCCCGTTAGGAGATATAAAAGCGGAAACGTCCAAAAGTATAATTAGTCATTAAACACAAAATTTTATAGCTGCAATAACTAAATATAAAAATTATTTAGGTAATCAATTGCTCACTTTAATAGCTCACTGGTTTACTGCAACCTGATGGTGCAAAGCAAACACGTGTACTCTTCGTTTGAATCACGGGTCACCTGGCACACTACCAGAAATCTTTCAGAGATTATCGCTTGGAAGAAATGTTTTCTATTATTCTTATCATAAGCTGTAAGTATACGTTATAACTTTTTAAATAACTGTAATGTATCATAGGCTGCGATTAAATTATGATCACTGCAGGCAGAGACTTGTAAAAAAACAAAAGTTACTTAAAACATAATTCAATAAAAATAAATTAAAACTGTAATAGTGAAACTTTAGTTCAATGAATAAGTAATTTCATTAACAATTATCATTAATGCAATTACTAAATACTAATCCGCGATTGACGTCAATGGCGATTTGCGTTGTCTACGGTTGTATGGCGCCTGCTGCGACATACTATTATTATTTGACAAAATGTCAGTGATAACCCTTGGGATATCACAGAATAGGATTTTATCCCATAGGATTATATTATAACAAGCATGAAACATTATTATTATCTTAGAACTTCTATGAAACGTACACTTATTTTATCATGTAAGTAGATAATATCTATACAACAAGCTGAGGAATATAGTAGGTTTTCACATTACAATATGATGTTTAATGAAAATCACCTAGATGACCGATATTTTTTTTGTAAACTTTCCAAAAAATGAAACCTAGCTAGTTCGATTAATCGCCCCCGAAACACTCTGCATACCTACTACATTTCATGAAAATCATTGGAGCCGTTTCCGAGATTCAGATTATATATATATATATATATATATATATATACAATAATTGCTCGTTTAAAGGTATTAGATTTAAACAACGAAACAAACCAGTACTCTACTTGGATTATGTAAGCCCTGTTCACATAACAATGCCTTATTTCAGATGCATCATTACTAGAAGGCTACAAAATTACAGGTCATGCGGAGTTTATAGCAAAAGGAAACAAAATTATGCATTTCATAAATGAAAAAGTAAAAGACATCAACTGGAACGCCGACAACATTAGGAAACTATGGAATGCAATCACAAGTGGAGAAGTAGAAATTAACAACGAGCCTGCATCTAGTGAAGATAGCAATGAATTAACGAAGCCACGAAGACACACAAACGGTTTAAAACGTGGTCCACCATCAAAAGTAGATCCACTATCGAGAAATTATCCAGCTAATTACCCTGAACTTTCTGCCTTCACAATGAATGATCTCACAGGGAAGGTTGAGGATAAAAAACGGTTTTTAGAATTTATTAAGGACGTCGCACCTGTTTACAGGTTATTGATAAGCTCACTGAACGCCGAATATCTACAAAAGCATAAAAAACAATACCCTATTACTATGGTGGCTCACGATTTTGTTCAACTGGCGGATCATTTCAATGTTAAAATACATAGTAATGGAGGTAAAACTTACAATATTGATTGGAATAGTATGCAAACAATAAGAGAATATTAAAATATTTGTTATAAAGACGTTGTTTTCAGACGAGTCAGGGGGACTATAAAATCCCTTCAATAAACTTAGATTCGTCGGCAGTCAACGCTTGACCAGAAGGCTGGATCCGGATAAACTACCACCTATAATTTTAAACGGATTAAGTATTCCACTTAGTTCTTCTGTTAAGGATCTGGGCCTCTTCGTTGATAGCAACCCCAGCTGGCAAACCCAGGTTGCTAGCGTCAGTCAGAAAATAACAGGAACCCTGCGGGCCTTGTACAGGCTCAAGAATTTTCTTCCCTCTGAGACAAAAGCGATGTTGGTTCAGACCCTAATAATTCCCATTAGCGATTATGGTGATGTGTGCTACTACGACCTGCATGCAGATTTCCTCAACAAATATGACCGACTTCTGAATAACTGCATTCGATTTATTTTTAATCTACGTAAATATGACCATGTTTCCCCCTCCCGCCTTAAGTTAAATTGGCGCCCGATTCGATAGCACCGTCAGCTGCGCGCCCTTACCACTCTTTATACTATTCTCAACTCACCTAATTATTTGACATCCTACTTCCAACTCCTGTGTTCTCATCATGACAGAACCCTTTGCTCCACAAATAATCTTCTCCTATTATGTCCCTCTCATACTTCCGCATGTATTCATTCTTCCTTCGGCGTTCAATCTGTCCTCCTCTGGAACGCTCTTTCCCAGGAAATCAGTATGACACCCAGCCGTCATTCGTGTAAGGCCAAAGTGAGAGCTCTCCTCACACACAAAGAAGCTATATCATCATTTGATTGATACCTAATATATTTTACGAATTCTGTAAATGTATGTATGTATGTATATGTATGTATGTATATCCTATATATTTGTACGAATGTATATATGTGTAGGTAGATTTATGTTTGTAAGACAGTTTTAATGATGTTTATCACTTTTTCTACCCGCTTTTTTTTCGGGTATTCTTTTGTGTATGTATTTCTTGGTTAAGTCTTGTTATTGAGTTTAGTGCACCTAATCACTCATCTCTACACCCCAAGGTAGACTGGCAGAGAATGCTAGTCTACCTTGGGCCTTGCCATTAAGTCCACCTTTGGACTTTTTTTTGTGCATTAAGTATTAAATAAATAAATTTAGATGAGAACAAAAAAAAAATTACTTTCCAAACAATAAACGCAAATATAAATCGGTCTATTCGCTGGGAGCTATCGTCCGTGTGGTGACGGATTAAGAATACGGAGTGTCACCACCCCTATTCTTCCCTTGAGCCTAAGAGACTAAGAGAACAAAGTACGCAAGTCAACAGCACTCCAATAAGAAAGGAAACTTGAAACAGCCCTTTATACCAACCCGTGTGAAAAGCATGATATAGTAGGCAAAACCTCCTTGTTAAGAAGAGGCCTATGTCCAGCAGTGGACTACTAGAGGCTGTTGATGATGTTAGGAGCTATGATGCCACACAAGGACAATATGTTGTGTTGAGTAGTTTTTTAACATTTTTAGTAATTGAACTTATTTCGCTTTTTACAATCGAGTCGAACGTTTAATCTACTTTGGGAATTGTGTACACCATAGACAACTATTATACGAGTGTAGCCGACCCTATTTTTTGAAAGCTCCCTAAAATAAAGTCGATAAATAGAGACTTTTGTACTCAACATGACATAAATATACCAACTCAGACCCGGATACCTTCATGTATAGTCCGTTCAGTTATTTGACCTCTGACAGATGTTAATTGTATCTTTCCTGTATGTCGGAGTTACAGTCAGTTTTGCAAACCTAGTGGATTTTCTACTAAAACAGGTGGTTGCCCCCCCTCCCCCTTTTAGTGGCGAAATATAGCTTTTTAGGGGATATTTTTACCTTTAAGAAAGGTATACAAAGAATTTAATTTTTTCCCAAAACTAATTCTCTTTCCTCCGAGCCTTTTCCCCAAACTAGGTTGGGGTCAGCTTTTAATCTACTAAGATATGGCTGAACTTCGATTTTTTACACGGAGCGACTGCCACCAGACCTCCACAACCCAAGTATAAGGCGAAATCGAAGTTCTGAAGAAAGACTACTGCCGCACTTTTTAGGACACTAACTATCCGTAACGTTTGACACACATGTTCGTATGGCAATCAGAACCGACGGCTTTACGTAGTCTCCGTAAGAAATGGTCACCCATCTATAGACTGACCTGACTTGGATTTCAAAAACGATGTTTTTCCCAATATTATAGAGTCATCGTCATCACTATTATTTGTCTGTCCTTTTCCCAACTTTATTTTGGGTCAGCCCAATGTGTGGTTTATGCCTTTTTTTTTTCCGTGCGGAAATCCCCTCGGATACCACCTGTCGGTGGCATGTCGGACTCGAACCGACTAAAACCGCACGCCTTCGCCGGGTACTAATAGCCGGGGAACCAGGTATACCCTAGAAAGGAAGGCCCTGGTGCCCCGACATACCTCGGGTCATCTACAGATGAGTAGACGACCCCCGCCCCGTGTGGGAACCCCATGTTTCCTGTGCTCCCTGGAAGCGAGCGCGCTTCGCAACGCGCTCGCCGCCACCCCGGCCTGCTTCTGCTAGGGTGACAGATGGCCTCACCTGTCACCCCCAGGCCTGCGCTTATGGAGGACGGAGGTCGGATGTGTGGTTTATGCCTGGTTTCTCTTATGGCTTGCTGGACCGGTTACCGGAGCCTAAGATTCTCCTCCCCGCCTTGTGACTCTTCGAGTTGCAGCTGTCCATCGTCAGCGGTAGTTATTTACCATCAGGTAAACCGTCTTCTCGTTTGCCCCCTATACAAAAAGTAAGGTTTATATTTTCACACAAAAGATATATGCTTTTTATAACATGTAGGTATAGCTTATTCATTCTCTATACATCAGTCATTGTTACAATACATTGAATTTATGCAAGCCCACACCTAAATATAGAACGTGACACGTTCTATATTTAGGTAGTAGTAGGTATTTCAGGGCGATTAAACTGTTTAATATATTTCTAAAGGAGAATACAGGACATTTAAGTATTCACACAGACACCTGATCCGGCAAAACCCTTGGGACTTGGGAGTATTTGGAAATAGATTATTACCATCCAAAAAAACATAACAACACACAAAATAGGCATCACCTTAAAGAATAGCTTATGTCAGACTTGAACAACTAGGACCTCGCCGTGTTCAATCTGGGTCTAGTTATCTTTTGAATGAAGTTGTCCTTTCAACAAACAACCAGCCTAAGACCCACGAGTGTTCGAGTAGATTAATAGCCTCACGTACATAAGTACCCTACGTACTTAAAAGTGTGTGGGACTATTCCCCTACTCCACTAATACCTTGTTAAATTTGGAATAATTAGGGTAGACTAATAATCAATAAGTTTACCCCTGACCATGGACAATTATCGGAAACTTATTACAGAAAAAAACACGGTAAATATCCCGCTAACCCAAGTACCGATAAAGTAATTATTCCAAATGTAAACTTTATTTTATTTTTATAAATTTTGAGTAATTGTTTTTTTTTTTAAATAAAAAAGCAATGCATTTGTAATAACACTTTATTTTTTACATTAAACGAATATCGTGTGCCATACAATGCGATACATAACTGCTGTTGCTATGGTAATGTATAATTGCGAAACTTTAATTATATACTGTATTATAGTATGCCACATCTCAAATACTTCAATTTCCGTACACAACTCCTGCAGAACTAAAAAAAATGGCGCTCCCGCCAAATTACAATACAGTTTGAAAATAGAACATGGTTGTGTTGCGAAATTTGTTGGCTACGTAGCAAGTCTTATTGTTGTCTATGACTGTTATACGATTTTTAATGCTCTATAAATATTCCATACTCTATGCCAATTTTATACTAGTTACAGACCAAACAAAAAACTATTCTTACAAACCCTTTCAAAGAATCTAAATGCTTGTTTAATAATTGTAAATTGTTGAATAATCAATCACTTTCATCTTGTTATTATTAAAAAAAAAGCGATTTATTTACATTTATTGCGACAGTGGCTTGTATCTTCCGTCATTTTTATTTGTCATTTCTGTCAAACATGTTGAATACATCGTGTCTAAGTCTGGATTCTAGCATTATTATTTAACAAAGTATCATGTCATATTCATGGTATGATTTTAAATCATTATTTTATTTCGATATTATTAATAGATGTGGCGTACTAGTTATAATATTTTTTACCAAAATTGTAAGCCTAACGCGAATTTAGACATTATCATTGAACTTACAATAAACCCCGACTGTATACCGTACGATTTAATCTAAAACACTTGCGACAAAACGCAAGCGCGTTGTTTAGCAATATATAAGAAAGGCGTTTGACCAACGGTAGCCTTTTAAAATTATTGATTAATATTATCATTTGATAAGATATATCACCTTCAGCGTAGATGCCACGTTTAATCACACATGTAATTTGACAAACATGTCAATTAGGTATAACTCATATGTCAAATAATTTGACAACTTTGTCAGTTACATCTCACATTTAGCACATTTCAAATAATTTGACAAACGTTGAGTAAATTGAAGTGAATCTTCAGATGTCAGAATATTTATTGATTGCCAACAATGGAATTATGTCTACACTTACTTTTTGATCACTTGAGTACATATTATATTTGAAAGTGAATGTTTTCTTTTACAAAGAAAGTTAACTAAAATCCTGGCTAATAATTCTATCAAGAGGCCAAAAGACGAGACGAGGAGAAAAAAGATCTTTAAATATATTTATTTAAAGAATTTCTTTTTCATTGTCAAGTTAAGAATACATTACTACAGTCAATGGCAAAGAAATATTTCTTTCCAATTTTGAGTTACGCTGTAAATAAAATACAAATTGTATAATAAACTGAGTTTATTTCTTTCTTTTGCCTCGATAGCCTCGACTGACAAAATCTTCAAGAGGACTTGCTTATAATCGTACTAAAACAACACTTTAGACTAGGAGATAGTTCACAATTAAACAAAATGCTATTGGGAGCATTCGGAATAACGGAAAATCAAATTTTCTTTGTGCAGCAACATATTAATTTGTTTTTGTTTGTTTATTAATTTTGGAGCCTCGGATTTGCATGATTTCATTGGTTTTATTTAAGCTGAAATTTTACTCTTCCAGTTACGTTTCAGTTCATATTTCAACACCGTTTTATTTTTATTTTCTATTAAAAATACCCAATATAAGTCATAACTGAAAGAAGTAAACAAAGTACTCTTAGTAAAATCCACAAAATAACTTAATCTGTTAAGAAAAACTGAGCTAATAAAATATAAGTAACCAAAAAACTAATGAACTATCTCCTAGACATTTAAAATAAAAAGGAATAATAAATAAAATATAAATTAAAAATATAAAATTTATTAACGAAACAGGGCATTATTTACAACAACAAAAAATAAAATGTTATAAACATTAATTATTATTAAATCTAAATGAGAATAGGCCCCATTACACATAACCTTGCATTAATCACGTTTATGGGAAATATTATTTGAGAAGTGATAACGCCATGATAAAAACAAACTATTCAATAGGTTTTAGGAACATAATCGATGACAGTTAACTTGTTAATACCTAAAAGAATATTGAGGAATGTATTTATAAGCAATAATACAGATTTTAATTCATTTAAATTCGAAAGCCTCCAAAGACAAAAGCATAGAGTTACTTAATTATATACATATTGTAATATAATTAATTACTCACACTATGCATTCTTTATCGTTGATAAACATTTAAAGTTAACCGAAGTTACGATCGAATTGTACTAATCATGATCGTAGGTTACCCGATTTTGGTATTTTTGCGGGTAGTTGTCGAAACTAGCACTTTACAGTCGTCGCTGAACAGTCCACGACAGGTGTCCTTCGATCGAAACGTATATATAACGAATTGTAACTCATAATAGGGAATATGCATGTATGTTTTTTATTTTTTTTCACGATTCTACTAGTTATTACATTACCAAAAATAAATATAACACATCCGAAATATAAACCGTTAAGCGATTTTTTTTTTATTAAAATCACTATCATTTTGGGGCAATTTGAACACGTCCATTTTGGCGCGCTTTTTTTTGTGACGTCAGATTACACTTTCAGACGAATTCGATGTCAACAACGGAGTAAAGTTCACAAAGTTTGTGAAAGTTAAAAAAGTGAGTGATAAAAATTAACTTATTACCATGGAAAAGCCAATAAAAACTTATTATAAATATTGTGCCGTTCCTTTGTGCCCAAATAATATCAAAACTGCACCTGACAAAGTATATTCAGTCATTGTGTTGAGTCTTTCTACACGGGAATTTAATAATTTAACACTGAAAACGTATTAGTTATTAACTTAAAATGAAACAAATAATCACCAGAAACCAAATATTACAAATACACACAACTTGTTGACACTCTTGACAGTGTAGGTTGACGTCACGTTTTATTCAACCAATAGCGTTGCGTTTTAGAATTTTGCGAGGGAATCTTAAAAAAGCCAATTTTTTATGATTAAATTTCACTATTAAATTAAAATAAATTTCAAAAATAATTGTATGGGTGTCTTTTTTTAGCAATAAAAATTACAAATAAAAATAATTTGTAAATTTTGGTGTCACGTGCATATTCCCTATTATTAACGCGATTTAAACTATATTTAGCCTTTAATACGGCTTTATTTGATTTGAAATTTCACTTCAACTTCACGACAAAAAGCCAATGTTCAAAGAGCTATGGAGGACAAAAATATATATTATTACCTCAGTGTTACCAACAATATGAATGTTGAATTATTTATGGGTTTAGATATGAATCTTGTCTTTGTAAAAATGATGCATAGCACAAAAATAATATATACGCAGTACCTTCAAGACGTTATTTAAATACCAGAAATACTGTTTTCAGTCATTATGTAAATATGAATGATGTTATTTATAGTAGTGTACCTTTCAAAAGATATAATCTTTTGGAGTTCACTTACTGATGAATATTAGAAAAAAAGCCGCGAGACTTACAGTAGTCGTATATGATTCTGTAATATCCGACGTCACACCTGCCAACTTGCGGACAACTCTAGTATCGCAACCGCCTTTTTGTTACACACTTCCGTCCCAATTTACGAAATCAGTCCCACAGATGGCAGAAATACGAGAGGAAACATCGGAAGGATTTTACTCATTAATAATTGTATGCTCTTTAAAATGTTGTATAACATTACATTACAGTTCCGGTCATTACCACTCTCAGTCAAAACAAAATTGTACAGGGGATATTTTCTTTAATTAACACTAACATTGAAATAATAAATATATACAAAAAAACGCCGACGGATCCACAATACAAATAAAATAAATATAAATAACGAGTATATACTCAAATAACTGTCCTCCAGGCGTAAAGTTAAACGCACTGATTAAAAAAAAAACATACTTCTATAATGATTATCTCCCGACTTAAATTCTAATTATATTCACTAAATCTTGAATACTTAAGTTTCTGTGTTACATTTTCACCACGTCTAGTAATAACTCTTATAAAATTGTACTTTAATTAAGATAATAAGATAAAATTCTAGTATTACACTTATGATGTGATTGCCAATATGAACGCGAATACAGAAATCAGTTTATCAACCCTTCTCCCCCACCCCTCTGAACTTGAAAAAGATCCGAGGTTAACAGAATCGTGAGGAAACGTTTTTCTTTTGTTTAAATCTATTTGTTGTGATCTTTTTTTCTATATCAAGATTTATATTCTCAATCTAAATACTAAACATCAAATCTACGTGAAAATACCCAAAAAAAAACTCTGTCCATTCAATTTTATACCTATCAGTCAATACCTACACCATTAAATGAATTATCAATTGAATTTAGAATTAAAATCTTTTATATACTACGCAAGAGTAAATCTAGGAGAGATAACTATAATTTTCTATTATTGCTTTTTATTTGAATAGCATATTGTATACGTTAACGTACGACCAGTATGCTAATATTTGGTCGGAACTTAAGACCAGCCGCCCATGCATTGGTCGACCAAACTTTGGTAGGTATACATGGGATAGAATACCATTATCCCATTGCATTATTGGCCGTTGAAGCTTTAGTACATAAGTAAGGGAAAGACCATTTTTTTTAAATATTTTTAAACTAATGAAAATATTGCGTATTGACGTTAACGTACGACCAATATACTAATACTTGTAGTCGAAACGAACGTGAATTGGTCGACCAAACTTTGAAAGAGAATCGAAGGCAAGTCAATATCAATAGTAAAAATGTAACACAGACTGATTGTCGCCTAAACGTTACAATGAAATAGGCATAATGAAATATACTACAGAGTTTATGAAAAAAAGGAAATATAGTATCATCCCCCGACGTCACCCACTCCGTTTGTATTGCAAGCACATATTCAGCAATTATTTGCTTCCAGCATTCATTAGATATATTTTAGAGAATATTTAAAACTGCAGTATTCTCCAATTTAATTGTAATTCGAATACAAACAAACTTAAATTTTAACTTCAAATATAACATAATAATTATCGACACTTTTAATTTTGAAAAAAAAAGATAGATTACAGCCGTCATTGCCATTAGATTAGGTCTACTTCAAGATAAGTATAGACACTTTAATACTCAATATAATTACAATAAGTAATGACACATGACCGTAGCGTACATAGGCCTAAAACACAATGACCAAATCCGAAGAAAAAACAATTCGTTCCAAATTTAAATTTTAAATGTGTAGTTGTACATAGCAACACATACGGTGAAGTAGGAATGCGGTAATCACGCGGGCGGAGCGGGCGGGAGGGACGCGGGCGTCGCAATGGCGTAACTCACTCAACGCAGGTCGGGGTTGTCGTTGATTTGTTTCTTGATGCGGACCAACATCGTAGTGTACCACTGGTCCAGTCGAGATATGCTGTCGTAGGTTTTAACGGCTTCAGTGAACGCATCCACATTCTGCTCCTCCAGGTGTTCGATCAGTTCCTGAATACAAAGTAATTACTTAAAACTTCGGAAGGTTTTTTTACATTGAAATTGTGGATGGATTTTGCTATAAGTATTGTAAGATACTATAGTAAGTTACTAATAAAGGTACTATTTCACAATCTTAACAATGAGATCAAACCCTTAAATCTTTGTGATAAATGCAAACGCAAATGCAAAATTTTCATTCCTGAACCTCAACTGTTGTTTCAAAGTTACGCGTATAGGTATTAAAAAAAGTTGAGATGTATAAATAATATAAGTCATCGAATATTTTTTTTTAAACAACTTCCGCGCTAGGAATATATTCTGTGTCGCGGGGAAATATACAAACATACATGAAATGGACACAAAGAACACCCAGACTCAGAATAACAATTTGTGGGTCACACAAAGTGTCGTCCCATGCGGCGAGGTGACCAGCGCCATCCACACGTCCCATGCGGCAACTCACCTTGATCAGCTTACACTCCCGTGTATCAGTGAAGGCGGGATACAGTGCGCAGTACTTCTCCAGCGCGTGTTGCGCGTTCAGTATATCTACGCACAAGTGGCACAGCGCCGCACGGAACATGTATTCCTTGGCGCTGTACTTTAACAGACTGTTGTCTAAAGATGATTTGGCTATCTGTAACGTGATGATAACTAGGTTGTGATTAAACTGTTGTGGAAAACTAATTCTGATAGTAAGAGGCTATCAGATCCTACAAGGGAACACAAAAAATGCACTGTCAAATTCAAATTGGACCAAGTGCAATGGAGCTGGAGTCAAGTTTGAGAGGTGTAGCTTCATTCTGCGTTCCTTATTGCTTGTATTATGGACTTATACCGGCTGCAGTTTTCCGCCATCGTTCAACATGATAAACCTTGCACATCCATCACTTGGATATTTGCACTCCACCATTGTGTGCTTTTCACGAAACTTTTTACCAGTAAAAATACATGTTGCATATGTAAATCGGACTTAACCCCATAATATTGACGATACTTTATGCTCGTGGTGAGGTGACCACGATCGGTACAATTCGGTCACAGGACAAGTACAACAGTAACTCTGTAATGTAATTTACGCTCCAGCTTCTCTAGTGTGCGGGCTAAGCGACTTCCTGTTACACAGTTCCGTCCCTATTCAAGAAATCACAGCCACCGGTGGGTAAATAAGGAAGATAATAAAAATAATAATATTTGTTTTTAACATTTTCTCAAATTTGACACACAACGGCATCTAGTTTTAAACTAAGCAAAGCTTGTACCTTGAAAGCTAGATTGAGTGATTGATTCGTTACATATTTACATATTATACATAGAAAACACCCAAACTTCAAAACAAATATTTGCCGATCGCACAAACATTTGGTCCGACCCGGTGTTTGGAACCTTAGACTTCAGCACAGTAGTCGCATTCACTACCACTGCACTACCGAGCAGTCCCATTATCAAAAGGCAGTTCCGCAGTATTGCCCTTTAAAATGAAAAAAGTAAGGTATAAGTACATACCTGCTCATAGATTTGTATAGCCTTGTCGTAATGTTCGAGTTGGGCCGCGTACTGCGCCAACTTGAGCATGCACTTGTTGGCCGACGAGGTGGACTCCTCGCCGCGGAAGTAATCAGCTGCCTGTTCGTAGTGTTGCATAGCTCGCGACAAGTCCACGCACTCTGTCTCGTACAGCTCCGCTATGTTCTGTTCAATTGTGTATTTTGTTAAAATCATGATGAATTTTAGCTTCCTAATGAAGATGATAGTAGCCTCACACATCTCACACAAGGCCGTCTGATCCCAAACTAGGCAAAGCCTGTGCTATGGTAACCAGACAGCTGTTAAACATTCTTGTATATTTCTAAGTACATACATAGTTACAGTTAAATTACAACCAGACACAGAAAAATGATCCGTCACACAATTATTCAATAGCGAGGGTCAGGGGGCGAGCAGTCAGGGTTACTAACCTTTAGACCAACAGGCCAGTCATTATTGGAAGTGAGACAGTTTGCTACGTTTTTGCGCATTAACCACACAGCCACCATGAAAAGTTGCCTTTACCTTGTCAGGGGTACAGAAAAAGACGTATTGTTTCTACAAAAAAGTACCTGTTCTTTTCTGAGTTTTAAAAATAAAGTTAGACACGAGCTAAGTTACTCTCTACAGCTTGTGATAAACAAATAAACATTAAAAACTTTAAGATTCCTTACTACATTAATAATAAACTTCAACTTTCATTAGTTGACATTCAATTTGTAGCTGTTTCTGTAATTTTTAATTATTTTTTATATATAGATACTACCTTCACTACTTCCTCTTCGTCTGCCTCTCTCAAAAGGTAAAACAAGTACAAATGGCATGGGTTCAAAGATTTCTTTTCACTAATTAATTATTTATTAAAACGCCCGTCAACTGCAAAGGGGCAAAGGCGATATGGTATCACGTGTTTGTAGAATAAGGGTATTGACCGCTATTTCGTTTTCTTTTTTTATCAGAAACTTTTTACAAAAGATATTCTCTAAGCTACTTGCCGGTAACATTCGGCGTAAGATTTATTTTAATATCTATAGTTCTGTAAGTAAAGAAATAAATTTATTTATTCCTAATTTTATTATTTTTACATGTCTATTAAAATCATAAAGAAGCGGTGACAGTGCACAGACTAAAAACCTTCGGACCTTTCGGGCAGCTGGAGTGATTAACAAGAATACTATATGTGGTTTAAGTGCCGTGACGTATTTTTAATTAATAAAAATTATCTAACCTATAACATACTGCTACTTAATTATATAAATACGAAAAGCTAAGCAAAGTCTGCCACATAATAGCGCTGCAAAGAGAAGGAAAACTTGAAACAAACCCTATACGTCTGGCCAGCGTGGTATAGTAGGCATAACCTCTTTTCTAAGGAGAGGCCTATGTCCAGCAGTAGACTATTAAAGGCTATTGATGATGACTATAAAAAGCATAAAGGAAATTAACGCCTTAACGCACTCATTTCTTTTCTCTCAAGCGGTTTAAAATAGGCAAAATTATGACTTAGACCGAACAGATGACGTCACAAATTACTTAATTTAAAAATAAAATCATACACGTAAGAATTACACAATTGACGGGAATTTGGTCTAGGGTTAGTGGCCTGACTGCTAAGTCAGAGGTCGTTTGTTCGATTCCCACCCAGAACAAATAATTGTCTTTGTCTGGGTGTAATTGATCTTAATCTATACTGATATTATAAAGCTGAAGAGTTTGTTTATTTGTTTGTTTGTTTGAATGCGCTAATCTCAGGAACTACTGGTCCGATTTGAAAAAATCTTTCAGTGTTAGATAGCCAATTTATCGAGGAAGGCTATAGGCTATATATCATCACGCTAAGACCAATAAGAGCGGAGCACCAATGAAGAATGTTTCAAAAATGGAGAAAATTTATTACTATTGAGAGACGCAGACGAAGTTGCGCGGGTCAGCTAGTTTGTATATATTTAGAAATATATAAGTATGTTTATTAGTAGTCTGGTTATCGTGTACAGGCTCTGCCTAATTTGGGATCCGACGGCCGTGTGTGAGACGTGTGAGGTTATTATTATAATTATATTGTCTCAGCAGATTACAGTTAAAGAGTTACCTGATGTTGTTTGGCGGCAACAGTGAACCGGCCCATGTCTGTGTAAATTTCGATGGCCTTTAGTAAAGTCGACACAGCCTCTGTAACAAAATGTTTCTACATTAAAAAGAAAGAAAGTTTAAAAGGGGTAGGTCTCAAACGGGGTGGCCAAATCCATCGTATTAACTAAGTTAAACTGCAAGCAAAAGGTAGCAGGGGAGGTGGAAGTTGCATTGCTTCCAGAGCTTAAGTCAAGACTTAAGCTCTGCCTTCGATACTGTCACTCATGACATACTGACTGCTGAATTAAAAAAATAAAATAATATTTTCTTGACCTCTTGGTCATTATTATTCATATCCTATCTACAAAATAGACATGTTTCTTGAAATAAATACTGAAAACTAAAAACAATCAAGCTCAATCAGAACGAAATATATTAAGACATATAAATCAAAACTTATTAATATTAAAACAGGTGTTCCGCAAGGTTCCACACTCGGTCCGATATTTTTTATTGTATTTATTAGTATGGTATAAAAATTAGCATGGTTAGCACGTTGCCTGACAATATAAATTTAAATGTTTTCGCTGATGACACGAATGCCATTGTGTCAGCTGATACTATTAGCAACCTATCCCGAAAAGTTGATAAATTATTTGAACATCGTTATTTTCAGTATTTAGATCTTCTTCAGTATTCATTTTTACACCACTAGGTACGATGGGACATAATCTCCTAGATTCTGTATTGATAAAGTTTAAATCTATACTAATAGTATAAAGCTATAGTTTCAGGCCAGGTGGAGTGACGATTTGCGCAAGATGGCTGGCAGGAGCTGGATGCGAGAAGCCCAAAATCGATCTAAGTGGCGTGCAATGGGAGAGGCCTATGTCCAGCAGTGGACTGCGATAGGCTGATGATGATGATGATGATGATAGTTTGTTTGTTAGATTGAAAGCGCTAATCTCAGGAACTACTCGATTCGAATTGTACCTCATTTGACGTTAATAAGTATTATTATTATATATATGTATTTATATCAGTTGTCTAGTACCCATAGCTCTACTTAGTTTGGCACTAAATGGCGTTGTGTGAATGTAGTAGAAAAAAAACTAGAAGCTTTAATAAAAAAATCGCTAAAATGGCTAAAATTTATTCCTTTCGACTCACGCAGACGAAGTTCCGCAGGTCAACTAGTGGGTTTATATGATGTATGTAAATATTAGATAAGTTTTTTAAATAATAGTGACGAGGTTTTTCCATAGATTATTACCGATTAATCCCTTTCTTATGTAGCCTTTTGAGATCATCTATTATTGAACACTATCTAATTTATTACATCACAACTCTTGTTTTTCTTTAACGATTCTTTGATAATAATTAAGTAATTTGCCTGAAGTTTACCTACATTTATTTAGTAAACAGATTTTCAGTTGATAAGGTAATTTGAAACCCTGTCCTTGAAACTGATCGGACGCTTATCAGAGAATATTTCGCGCGAATAACAACGTAGTCATATCTGCAGATTACGTTTTATTTTGTTTTGTAACTTAATTTTTATAATCGTGATTTGCAAATACCACATTTATTGAAGATATACGATTATATTTACGAAGAAGGCTTCTTTAAGGCAGTAAAGCATGTCAGGCGTCACACCAGTTTGAAAAAGAGCCCAGTCTGCCGTCTAGTGTGAGGTTATTTTACATCAACTCGCTCTCGATGACGGCATTACGATTAGTGCAGATTTAAGTAAGGGCCAATCAGAACGAATAACCCGACCGTTACGATCGATCCTCTGGTTCGATGCTAGTCGGGCATACACACGTTAGTAAAACCGTGACGAAACACTGAACACCAAACTGACATGAAATCCAAACCTTTTTTTTTTTAAATTACCTTTAAAAATATTGTGTGCATATTATGAAAACAATCGTTTGATTTATGAATTTTAATTAAATAATACACTGGAAAAGATTAGATAAGATTTAGGCATTTTTTTAGACTAATAGTATTAAGTCCGGATTTCGTGCAAAGAACACACAGATATCAAGATCTGATTCCTAACTTTATAACACATTATTGTTTCATAATTTTACTATGTGCACTTCTTTGACGTTTAAACATTACGTAGTCCAAAATGATATGCTTTCAAATATGATATACTTCCTGTCGCTATATTTGTTTAGAAATGAGTACAAAGAATTTTTAAAAATATATGGATAAACAACTGAAGAACAAGAACAGCTAAATTAAATTCTGTACGTAACTTGATCATTCCTCGAGGAACACAGCGCGGGTGCGGTAGCTTTTTAATTCCTCCAACTTGTTAAATAAATTATCCTTTGGGTACAAGAAAGTTTGTATCAGAGGACCGCAAAAAAATATACATATTGGACGTTTTCCCTCCTGGGGATGCCTGCTGTCAGTTGATAAAATATTCTTTGAGTAAAAAAACATTGTTGCATTTTCTTTAAATTGAATTCGTCAATTTTTTTTTATGGTATAAGGGGGTAAACGAGCAGACGGGTCCCCTGATGGTAAACAACTACCTCCCGCTCGAGCCAGGGGGGGATTTGGGCTCCGGTAACCTCACTCGCTCAGTGGAAGGCAACGAAAGAATTGCTTAACACCGGTGTTAAGTGTTAAATTTAATAGGTCAAAATCACGAACGCATAAAATACAGTTGCCTGCATAAAACGTCGTTAAATTGGATCGAATCCAGTTTTTATTCATACCAACAGAACATCCAGATGTGACATAATAAAACATTAAAAAGCTTGTGAAAGTTCTGGTATCCGAGGCCTGTATTAAGTATAGTTATGTATTGCGTATCCTGAAAGCGCTGCAGCCTAACTAGTTGTAGACTGGTCGTCTTGGACGGCAGCCAAATGATCGTAGATGTTCGTATTCTTTGCTTCCATGCTTTTTTTTTATGTCTATATGCCATGAATAGTGTAAATGCGTCTACATGATGATGTAAATTGTAGTCGTGTCATTTGTTTTGTGTCATTAGTAGTCATATTGTGAAAGTATTTGGGTCGTTTCTTTTTTTTTTACCCCCGACGGAAAACGAAGAGTTTTAGAAGTTTAACTTGTGTATCTGCGTATCTGTGTATTTGTCTGTGGCATCTTAGTTCCCGAACGGATGGACCAATTTCAATACGGAATTTTTTGTTCGAAACCCGATGTGATCGAGATGGTTCTTAGCTACAAATTTTGAAGAATATCAGCTCACTTCCTAGGTGATGAAGGGATCTCACTAAAATCCACAGGTATACTGTTAATTTGATGGTATTTGGACGACAGCGGCGTGCACAGGATTATGACACTAGGTATGCGGCTGAGGCACCAGGGCCTTCCTGGCACCAGGGCCTTCCTTGGCACCAGGGCCTTCCTTGGCACCAGGGCCTTCCTTTCTAGGGTATACCTGGTTCCCCGGCTATTAGTACCCGGCGAAGGCGTGCGGTTTTAGTCGGTTCGGGTCCGACATGCCACCGACAGGTGGTATCCGAGGGGATTTCCGCACGGAAAAAAAAAAATAAATAAAAAAAAAAGGTATGCGGCTGAGTAGTCGGTCATAAAACACTTTTTCTTTTATAGATTTTTAGCATAGCCAAAGCCACGCGACGGATCTCTCTCTCGGAGTCGGAAACCATGCCAACAGAACAAGTCTTAGATGTACTACTATTCATGTACATCTTCAACGGGAACGCAGACAAAACAGCGATAGATCGTCGCGGCGGAAGAAATTCTAATAAGTAAAATAATAAGCTAAAATATTATATTATAAATACTCACCTGGTCACACACATTTTCCACACATACCTCACAATCAAATAACATTTAAAAAAAAATCAACGGAACTCAGTAATAAACTGTTAAATGTACACACTTTCAAATGTTAAAATGAAAAATAAAACTATAATTATACTGGCGGAAAGAAAATAGTAAACAATGCTTATCACATGAAAAAAGCAATATGGCCCCCGCGAAACACAAAAAATATCTGCTAATTAAACAAATAAAACCCTACCATATTCATAATTCATGATCCGCACACATGATTTATTATATTTCTGTCTATTGTGTTTAGTCGATTTATAGGCAACGAACATTTCCGATTACTCCCGAAAATTGCCGAACTTTAGTAGCCTGCGGCTGGAGCCGGGGAAATAAAATATATGGGTGTGTGCGTTTGCGAACTGTGCACGGACACCAAAATTACTGCACACATGCGAACAAATTTCCTGCGGCATGTTTCGGCATGAGTTGGTTGGTAGGTACAGCGCCGCTTGCTTTTTGGTAAACGCCTGGCAAACATAATGTTTGTGTGCGTTCAAATGACAAATAGGTGCTATTTATAAAATAGTAGGCGTTTTTAAGTTATTATATTTTGTTTATTCATTTATTTACTATTAATTAAAGTCATTTAAAACGTGCGAACGTTTTATTAAAATGTCTGTGAATAGCAAGTAAAGCACTGCATTTCTGCCTACAAGGAGCGCACGCCCTTGTTGGACGACATGATAACCTTTCACTTGCTGCTGCATCAAGCAGTCTGCGGGATAGCCAACTCCTCAGAAAATTACAGCATATATACCACGTTTAGGCTTATTAGAACAGTCTCAATAATTACTTGGTGGGTTTTTTTACAATGTTATTAATTTTATAACATACCAACCAACCATATATTATCGATTTTAATATTCAATCTGAATGTAAACAGAGTCCTCCTCGGGGCACCTATTCATTTCCTAGATAACTTATATTAAAACGGATGTGACATCATCGCCTTCATCGGCATCTTTTCTTTGAAGATTTATTTACGTCACCGCGCCCTCATAAGATATCTCTTACAGCTACAATATGAGGGAATGAAGGAAGGCTAACGTACTTGCTAAAATTACTAACATGCATTAAGTAACATTCACTGAACATGGTAATAAATATTTTATTAACACTCGCAAAAACTGAAAAAAAAATTGAATTTCTACTGTCCTCCGAGATTTGTAATTGTATCTTAGCTATTCACGAATCTATGCTATTTTAGGCACAATATGTTGTCCTGTGGTTTTAGTTGGATCGATTTTGATATAGAGACCCACCGAAAACATCGGTGATATGTCCCACCAGGGGGTTTTTGTGAGCTATAAAAACTATCGTCTACCGAGATACCGTTATCAAATATTCAAAGATCAAAGATCTAAATGTTTTTATAAATAACAAACGAATCGTCCGTATTAGTTTCTTTTTCTACTAATTCGGAACTGTAAAATAAACCTATCTTCTGATCCGGTTCATGGTTGACAATAGATGTAAATTGTAAATAAATTTCCATTGTATTTTCACATAACAATGACGTTAAACTTCCTATTGGTCTGAAAATACCGACGATTTTCAATGGCTGTTCTAAGAATAGGTTACAAGTAAAATATCCAATACAAAGGATGCCCTTTTCGTGAGCTATCTGAATTTTAAAGTTCACGAGCAGTGTTTATAGGGGGCTCGTGGTTAATTGGTAAGCGAGTAGGTTAAAGTTAAGTTAACCAATCCTAGATAGGTCAGTCTAATGATGGGTGACCATTCCTAACACATTGAGTAGTTAGAACCCTAAAAAGCCCGGCAATAGTCTTTCTACATAACTTCGATATCGCCTAGTACTTGTTGTGGTGGTCTGATGCAGTAGCTATGCGTGAAACATCTAAGTTCAGCAGTAATTTTCAGCTCTACAGTGATAAACTTACCGTTAGGATCACATTTCTTGTAACAATTGGAAGCGTCAACGAAGTTAGTGGCAGCGTCATGGCGGACTCCAGCCTTTAAATGCAGCTGGGCAGCACTACAGAAGGCTTGGCCCGCCTGAGGCCATTTCTTCACCATTTTGAAAAGATTCGCCGCCCGGAGGTAGCAATCTACTGCTTCCTCGACTTTAGATGAGCCACTGCAAAGAAAATTATATTTTACCAGCTGCGCCCAGCGGTGTTAACCGCGGATATTTAATTCTTATAATACTCATCCCACGGAAATACAATATTTTTTCGGGTGTTAAACCAGGGTGTCAGCTACCACCATACCAATTTTCTCTATTTTTTAAACTATGTAGACAAAATTGGTCCAACAAACACACACACACAAACTTTCGCGATTATTATATTAATGTGATCAACTCCGATTAAGTTCCAAGAGTTCATCATCACAATCAAAATATTAAAGTGACCAATAAACACGGCCTTTTTTTTCGTGTGGAATCCCCCTCGGGCCGTCACCTAACCGGAGTTTTGCGACTGTGGTCGGAATCGGGCCGATTAAAACCACACGGCGTGATACTCTGCGCCTGAAATAAAAGGGATCTGGGAACTGCCCTTATTAAGACATCGGGATCACAATAGACACGGCCTTTAAAACTTATAATCTCTTTTCATCAGGTGAGCCGCCTGCTCTTTTGCCGCCTCTTCAAAAAAAAAACCCTGGTCGGAATGTGAAACAATTCAAAATTATAGTATCTACCAATTGACTGTGTTAATTTATATGTGTATTATATGTGTCGCTAGGTGTCGCTGTTTGAAGTATTTCACAATACAAGTACTAAAACATGTAAGTGTAATAAAAATTTATATTTATTACTGCAAATGAATAATGGAAGTGAATTTATAATAAGTATCATGACTAAATGCTTCTGTGTGCCGTTAAAAAAGTAAATAATCTTTTTGATTGTGTATGCAAGTTTAAACTTTATCACATTACAATAGAGGTAAAAATAATTTAACTGCTGTTCACTGAACTAGATTATCTTACTTGCATACGATTTTAAGCTCTATCGTCTATGCTCTTTCAGACTAGGCAATATACTGTATTGTCTAAATAATCCTCTCTATTTATGTGGTATTGTTTATTCATTGTCCCTCCCACAGAAGTATGGAGTCACTTTTATAGTATGAGAATATGAGTTACTAGATTTTGCCAGCGACTTTGTCTGCATGGTGGTCGACATCAGACATTATAGAGGATAAGCTACTACGAAAACTAATGAAATTTTATATAAATTTCGCATCCCCATTTAGCACCCTTAGGGGTGGAATTTTTAAAAATCTTTTCTTAGTGCACACCTACATCACCAAATGTACAAAATTTCATGCTTCCAACCCCAGGAGTTGAAGCTTTGTGTTGATCAACCAGTCTGTCAGTTTCTTATTCCACAGATTTTATTTAAACTTAATAAGCAGTGACTTGATGATGAAATTTGGAAACTACTGATTTCAGTAAGGCTGATATATTAAAAAATTAACTAATGAGGTGTCAACAGCAAAAAGCATTAATGACATAGGTTTTTTAATTAACAGAGCTCTCAAATTTTGACACTACAATAACTATTAGTTTTGTTTGAACAATATTTTGACAGGCCAAAAGTGTCTTTCTCATTTATCATTGATCATCAACAGTCCCCTAATAGTCCACTGCTAGACATAGGCCTCTCCTTACAATGGAGGTTTTTGCCTACTATACCACCACACTGGCCAGACAGGTCGGTATAGGATTTATTTCAAATTTTCCTTCTTTTCACCCACTTCTCATTTATTAACAAAATTTTTGATGATGATGACAAAAATGATGATTTATATTTTTGTCATCATCATCAAAAGTTTTGTTACTCACGTCTCATCAATGCAACCACAATGTACCACAGCGAAGCGTGGCAGGGTACAGCTAGATTTAATATATAGAAAGCAAATTAACTAACTACTTTTAATTATCCTATAATTTACCATAGAAACACTTGTTCAATAATATAAGTCTTTTCAAACTGTTGTACTGTAAACTAATGTATGTTAAATACAAAATTAGTTCTGTTACATTTTGATGTCTTATTAGAATTGTTATACCTTCAAATGAAAACATTATAGCTCCTTGTAGTGAACAATTTTACAATCCTTTAGATATCATCATCATCAGTCTTTTAGTAGTCTATTGCTGGACATAGGCCTCTCCTTGGAAAGGAGGTTTTGGTCTACTAAACCACGCTGGCCAGACAGGTTGGTATAGGGTTAATATCACGTTTTCCTACTCTTTGCAGTGCTGTTGTCCTGCATAGTTTACTCCCTTAGTAGACTCTTACGACACCCAAGGGATGAATAGGGGTGGTGACACTCTGTATTCTTAATCCGTCACCACACAGACCGATATATGGACCATCCTTTAGATATATGCAAATACAATATATGTCTAAGATTTTGTACTACTATACAAGATTCTAAGAACAAATAAAAGAACATAATTATATAGTATCAAACTATAACTTGCGCAATTTAGTTTTAATTTGTTTTTTTTTAGTCATACACTGTGTTTAATGCAGATGAATCATTCTAAAAACCTATTTTAGCTTTTTCAAGAATTTGAAGGCAGTATTGATAAGATCACTAATTAGATACTTAAGGCTTTAAAGAGAAGTTAAAGATTTCCATGTCATAGCACTTCAAAGTACGTTCTTTCACCTAAGTCTTATTGGAAAAGTAGTACACAACGAAATCCGTTTAAAGAATATTATCCCAAATTGTATATATATATGATATCATATCCCAAATTGTGGTGTAATATGCTCAAAAACAAAGATAAACATTAAACGAGTATTACAATACGTGGAAATGAATCTAATTAAGTCGTAATTAAACTAATATCAACAAAGTAATGAGTAATTCATTGTCCTCACCCGAAAAGTGATCCAAAAAATGTTTTCGATGAACTCAGCTTCTTTTCCGCTTCTGCAATTAACTGCATAGCTTTTTGTTCATTGTCTGCCATCCTTGTGGCTTATTTAACACTACACACTAAGACAAAGTTAACAAAATTCTCTTTAATTTAACAACTTATTGACAAAATGTCGTCAACGACGAAATGTGAAAATCCGTCGCTGTCATCGATTGATTTTGTGTTGCTAGTGTAGAATTCTTAAGACCACGGTCGCGTTCACAAAACTTCAATGAGTCGAGTTTTTAAAGTTGATCTCAACACCGTGTACCTTGCTCACAGCTACAGCTTGTGAAAATGGTGATAACTAAACTAATAAAAAAATTATAAATCCTCTAAGAATTAAGTTAGGTAAGCTATTCATATTTCTGCAAGGAATTTTGTTTTAAAATGTTACAACACCTTCGACTCGGGCTTGGCCGGTTTATTGAAAGATAACTGTTGTAGTAACACTAACCCTTATGATTTAGCATTGAGTCAAGTTCTTTTACCTATTTTATTTATAAGTACTTTTATATTATTTATTTACTTACAGTAACAGTATTAGCTAGGCGTGTATTTAAACAGCGCATTAAAAAAATGCTAAGTATGACATAAGTATTACGTATGAGAAATTAATTTTCTTATCTCGGAAGTTTTAGACTTAGGAGGTATTCGACTTAGGCGGATTTTGTAAGGAAATATTTGACTTGTAAAGGTTTAGATTCTTTCTTGGACCATTTTCATTTTTTTCATGATGTTTGATTCTTTTTTGAAAATTAATGAATCGGTGTTAAATACTCATAATTTCCTTCACGTCAACCCTCTTGTATACGTTATTCTAGATTTATTAGTCAATTTATCACTTTCAAAATAAGATTTCTAAAATTGTAAGAGTATATACGTGGCAATAACCACGCAAAATGTGCTTATTATACGCCCCTAAAATATGACTACACCTTTCTGTGTCTAACAGCCCTGTATTATGTAACATATTAGGTAGAGGCCAACAATTAAAAGAACCAGTTATTTTACCAAGTCGGGCATTCGGTCGGGTGACGGATTAAGAATACAGTGTCACCACCCCTATTCATCCCGTGGGTGTCGTAAGAGCCGACTAAGGGAGAAAACTACGCAAAACAACAGCACTGCAGAGAGAAGGAAAACTTGACACAAGCCCTATACCAACCCGCCTGGCCAGCGTGGTATAGTAGGCCAAAACCTCCTTTGTAAGGAGAGGCCTATGTCCAACGGACCAATTAAGGCTGTTGATGTGGGCATTAAAGTAATTTAAAATAGTAAGAAAATTGTCTTCCAGTTATAGTTTTATATTTTTACTAGACTTGCAACGAATAGTATATTCGGCAGTATACCGAATACCGAATATTCGGCGAGGCCCCTGACCGAATAGCCGAATATTAGGCAAAAGTATTCGGCTGGATTCTAGCGCCAAAAACTTGTACAGACGTGAATTAAATTATGTACCTGTTTTATGTACCAATGACTACTTAATAAATGATTATAAAAGAAATGAGAACCTTACCCTTCTAAATTTTGATTACCACAATAATTCAAATACATAGAATCCTCCATTTTTCCAATTCAAAAGATGATTATGTACCTGTGTTATGCACCAATGACTACTTAAATGATTATAACAGAAATGAAAATATGAATATATACGTAATCAATCGATTTTAATTTTTCATTTTACCAATTATTTCTCAATGACAAAATATATTATTTAAGTATTCGGTATTCGGCCGAATAATATGTAGATATTCGGTATTCGGCCGAATATAATAAAAGCAGCCGAATAGGCCGAATACCGAATATTCGTTGCAAGTCTAATTTTTACGTATTGTGAATAATTTGGCATAAGTAAGGAGGGTATCCAGAAAATATGTTGTTGTGTTTGTTCTTCATACAATAGTAGTATGTGTCGGAGATACCACCCACTGGTGGTTGTCGGGCTCGAACCGACCAAATACCGCACGCCGTCTCGGGTACTAGTAGCCGGGGAACCAGGTTTACCCTAAAAAGAAAATCCCTGGTACCCCGACGTACCTTGGGCTATCAACAACGGGTAGATGACCCCCTCCTGTGTGGGAAACCCCATGATGCCTTAGCCTACCCCATTTTAATTCAGACTAGGTGAGACACAGGAGTGCTCAAAAGATGGCAACACACTTGTCTCTTGAGTTGCAGGTAACCATGGATGGCGGTAGTCAATTACCATATGGTGACCCGATTGCTCGTTTCTACCTTATAATAAAAAAAGAATACCACTCTTGAGTTTATATTCTAATTTCGAAGTTACTTACCTAGCCTAGTGGCCACGTTAAGGAAAAAAACATATCTGGACGTTCCTCGAAGCTATTAATCTGAGCAAAAGAACTAGGTATAACTACTAACTATAACAGAATTAGGAGTTTACAGAATATCTCTGCACATAATTGATTCTTCCGAGGTCACCTTAAATCCTTGCAGTTACATAGAAACGTAGATTCTTTGACTGTTTTACCTTTCCGTTCCAGCACAAATCGTCCTCTGTAAGTAATAAAATAAAAAAAGTCCCAAAACATTTAATACGTGGTGTGCATTCTTCATTATCAACTTGAATAATGTTCTTTACTATGAAAACTTAAACCAGACCTTTATTTAGCAGAGTGCTTAATCTCAACTTTTAGTATCCCTAACAACCTAACATAGACAAAACTAAAGTTTTTTTCAAATCAGGATCAGAAATAAAACACCAGTGTTGCAACTTTTATTAATTTATTGTGTTTATAGATAGATCAATCGCCCCACTATTTGAGATTCAACAAGTTAAGGACACAACTTCAGTAAGCATTTTGGAGTAGTCCTAACGAAGTGGCTTCGTCGTAATTAAATTATTAGCATATTACATAGAGAAACTACTCCAGTTCTGACAAAAATATATTTTAAATTAGGTTCAATTTTAATTACTATATTCATTTCATCAAGAATCTAAAAAAACAAAGTTTTTCAAGAAAAGTTTTAGCTTAAAATACATATATATATAGTAATTAAAATGTCACCCGAAGTTACTTAAATCGGCTAAGGCTTTTAACAGCTATACAATAATCTCATATAGACACCTATATAGTGCTACTTTAATACTGTGATCTTGAATATACGACTAGGCTCTACTGGTATGTCCTAGGAAAACGTGTGACGTTTGCAATCAATGACAACACAAAAACGTTCACGCGTTTGCTAGGACAGACCAATATTATTTTTTAGACACATACAACAGGCCGTTACACAAATTCTTTGTATTGTCACAGGATTAAGAGGTAAACAGACACATATTTTATTATAGACAAATATTTTAGTAACTATAATTGTCTATGTACGACCAATAGTCTACTTAGATTGGAATGGTGGTGGTATTTTAACCGGCTAAGTAGCCAACAAGTCGACATCTCTTTTTAACTTTCTACTCTATAACACAATTCTAGAACTTTTTGAACTGATATATCCATTTTAGGATAGGCTTAATATGGACCCATGGGTTAAAAACTTAGGACGTATAAAATTAAATGAAAACAAAATAAAATATGAATTGATTTATTTATTATTTTCATAAATAAACTAAATTGAATATCTAAAGACAGGGCTAGTAAATAACATAGAATGGGTATTTACATAAAACGTAACTCATTAGGTACATTCATAAAAATAAAATGAATAAAATTTACAACTTAAAAATTTCAAAGGCTATGAGTACTAAAACTAATTCAAAAAATGTGGTTTAACTAGCATTCTCTTATACATGAAACTTATATTGTAAACTAAGAGCGAATCCCACTATTTCATTTCATCAGTTGAATCTGACATCACAGCATTCAATGAAGTACAGTATGGCCAAATGAAAAACTACGAATTCACTGGTCTTCATGTCGGTTACATTTAAAATATAATCCATGATTACTATACGCGGAAATCCTGGCAAGTCGAAAAGAGTGTTGCCATTAATAAAAATTTACAAAAAAAATATTGCACAAAAATAATAGCAATTATTTCGATTAATGAAACAATCAACAGATCTCATACAAATTGCAAATGATATCATATATCATTAATTTTGATAGCAAATAACATAACAGCACTATTCAATGCTAACTTAAAAACATCTATGTTACCACCTCAGACAATGGGATGTACAAAACTTCCTCTGTGTTACTAATATTTAAAAGTGCAAATTCAATAGTCTATAACAAATTGAAGAATTGGAATTATGACGAGACCAAAACAAAGCCTTAATGACGTAACATATTATGTAAAAATCTAATAAATTTATAAGCACTGTGTACTATGAAAACGCCTATTTATTTACATACTATAGAAACGTACAACGGGCTTAGCTGGTAAATCATTTACTTCTACTTCTTTACTGTTTTCAATATGTTTATAGCGCTACAAAGTGTACCTGTGATTACATCATTTCATGTTTTTCAACCATTAACGCTTCTTCAGATCATAACTTACGCGTATTGCTTATAAATGGCAACATTAAACAATACCTTGTCCAAACCATAGATAATGAAGGCATTTTGTAAATAAATCATTTTATTAATACTTCGACATGCCGAAGACAGTCTTAAGAAATTTCAAATATCAGAGATAACTTTTTTAGAAACATACTTGTACAAAGTATTGTCACAACTATTAAGTGTCCATAAAGTGTGGACTGACAGACTTTCTGCATGTTGTCATAAAATGTTGCCAGCCCAAAAGACTACTAAGCGTTTTTTTTTTAATTTAAAACAAGTTTAGATACTGTACTTTTGTGTTACCATATTGACGTAAGCAAATCATTATTTTAAGTGCATCACACGAGTATTCGTAGTAAACTTTAAATCCCATCCACACGGGGAAACGTTAGCTGATTATTATCGTGGAATGGGGCAGCTTCAACAGCAAGCACCTAGTTCATATATTCACAACAGCCATACATTTATATTTATACACCCGTAACATCTAATTTTATAACAATCTAATGCAGTAACCCTCTATAAATATCCTATATGACAAATACAGTTTTTACATAACTTGAGGATATGGAAATAAGTATTATTAAATAAATGTGTTTTTACCAAAAACGATTCTTTTTTTTTCAAAATGACATTAGCTGTTAAAACACGTTGGCTTAGTATATGACTAAATATGCAAAGTTTTTTTTTAATTTTATACAGATAATATAAGTAAGTATACAATTTAAGGTAATTGTTTATATTAAGGGTATCTATGTGACATCTACCCAATACAATAATACGATCATTTCGTATCGGTCGCTAAACGATTTATATCTTTTTCAGTTTAGAAAAATATTAAAATTCACTTAACCCAATTTGTAAATGCAGATCGTCGTAGTTAGGTAATAAGCTATAAAACAAATCTAGAGAACAACATAAATATTTCTTTTTCTTTTTGTACAATTATGGAATGTGATGTATTCAATTTTGAAAACTAAACGTATTTATGCACCTTTTTCATAAGACAATTTCATTAAATCATAAGTATACATTGATAAATATTAAACTGTCACAGAGACAGTAAATTACCATTTCATTCATTATGCATCATAAAAAAAAATTTACTAAAGTATTACGTTGTAATTTTATTAACCTGTGTTCATTATTAGTTAAACACAAATAATAAAATCATTTAAAGTTTCCTTTTCAAAAAAACTAATACTTTCGAAAGTTTTGCAAGGAATAAATAAATAAATGTGAGCTACCATATTATGTTGCATTCCTTGATCGACTATTCGATACAGGTAACTTTTTGATTAACTACATTTCAATTTGTAACTTGCAACCCTAACATCAAAATCGTGTTTGACATTGATTAATGTTCTGTTCGTTTAAAAATCGCAAAGCTGTACACAACTAAAATGCCACATCTTATAAAAATGTCAGTTGATTTTGACATTAGACCCGACTGCTTTGATTCATTTTGTTGTACGAATACAAATAAATGACATCACGCATTTTACTTCCACGAAAATGAATATATGGCTATTTTATTGTATCAAATATATTCAAGAATATGGTGATATACGCCCTAACGTTTTAAAAGAAAACTTAATAATATTATCAATTTCTCATATATAATAAATTCAATAAAAATTGAGCTTAAATTAAAAATTAACTAAAAATTTCAATTCCAACAAGTATTATACACAAAAACTAATACTTTCATTTTTCTTTTATTTGTTTATTTAAATGATGTTTTTAATCATCATTCAGACCTCATCTTATCTTATTTTTTCCTATATGATGTTGCCATACTAGTTTACATGTACCGATCTTAAGTTTAAAACTAGGCAGTCGGGCCGCTTCAGAAATAAAACCTCATAAAATAAGGATGGTGTTTAACTGAACTGGTTGGTGGTGGGCTGGGGTGGCACGGCTGGTCGAATCGGTTGTGCCATACCCATTGGCATCATCTGCGCTCCTGGCATGCCCATTACCATGCCTGACTGTTGCTGTAGGAGATAGTAATAAATACAAATTAAAAAAAAGCAATTGTTTAAGTAACTTTCTAGAGCAATAATTCTCCAATAAGTTTTTAATTGGACAGAGACCTTACCTATAATTATTGTGTGTTTTTTTTCCTGGTGTTTGTTCTTTATTTAATGCTACAAAGGTTTGGAAGACAGTTCAAGTAGAATACAGAAAATGGAATGCACGTTTACAAAAATTAATCACCGAATCACAGACACAATATATAACATTCTCGAAAGAAAGTGCATGGTGAAATGAGATCAACTATTCATGCAAATAAATCTTGCAGTCACACATGCATGCAAAGTCTTTCAAACTGTAACTATTTACCTTTTGAAGAATTCCTAATAGAGGTAAACGGTGTCTTTAATAACGTCAATCAGGAGGAATCAGTTTTGTAGACAAATTATTTGAAATAACAAAACAACCAAACATTGCAACCTATTTCAGAGCCAGATTTCGTTTATAAAATAACATTTTCTTAAAAAAAACTCAATAAATGAAGATTAAGCATTTGGCACAAATCAGTTAAAACGATTAAAATACGTCATAACCTACTACATACAAGCAAAAAAAAAGAAACAAAACAAAAATTAGCAAAACTTACCATCATATAATGCGGGGTATGGTATGTATGGGGCATAGTGTGGGGCAATGGCGGGAGAGGCATGCCTGGGCCCTGAAACGCAACAAAAAAGGATGCTGGCATGCTACGGAAAAAGAAAATAACAAAAAAAAAAGAAAAACGGATTGAGCGGTTTCTAAGCCAACAATTTAAAATGCGACATTAAAAGCAAAAGAGTAGCTAACGTATTTACTATTAAAGTTCAGTTTGCAAGGACTTCATCGCTGCTAAAGGTTAACACTTGAAAGGTTTAGGTACTTAAGTAAATCAACCAAATAAATTTGTTTAACAACTTTAAGACTTTCTATAATTAAAACCATATTTTCTTCTTATGGCATCGGATAATAAAGTTTTAAACGTAGTGTAAATCTGCAATTTCGCCAAACAATAGTATCAATAATACTTATGGTCTAATCGATCTACCAAAAATAGTCCAAAGAGAGCCAGTAATTAAAAAATGACAATAAAGTCCATCATAGTGATATTTTCATTGAATTTATTTTATTAAGAATTAATTGCTTCATTATTTATGTTGTCTCATAAAATTATTATTTACTTAGTTGAAAATACGCGTGCTGTGGTCTCCTGTAATTGAAGGAGTACACATACCAATACCCGTGTGAAATGTATTTTTGATATTTTGTGTACATCCTTTGTTGGAGATCCTTAAATATGTAAATAAAAAAAATAAAAAATAAAATTAATAATAAAGTAACTGAAAATGTATTCAAATAAACAATTAAAAAAATTGCCACCTAGGTGCCACGTAGGTTTGATTCCTTACCTTACACCTTTACTTGAGTACCTAAACCTCTCGAGTATCTTTTGAGCACACAATTTAATACTATATAAGTAGCAATACATATCATCTTCAAAATTTCTTTTAATAGGGTCGAGGTATATTAGAAATACTGTTATAGCCACACAATCTATAGATTGAACTTTCAGTACAGCAAATTGCAAAAATAAAAAAAATAAAAAGAATTAACGTATTTTGTTTTTTGGAAAATAAAAATTTGTATACTCGTATAACGTACGTCTAATATTGTAAACCTCAATATATCAAGACTGTGCCACTTCTGGTAGGTATTAAAAGTAGGCGTACATTTCTGTATATCGTCACTATTGTAAAAATAGGAACGAGCTAAACGAAGAATATGAATATTGCCTTGTAACTAAGTACATATATATATGTGTATGTGTGTGTGTGTGTTTTTTTTTTCACATCAAAAACTATTATCAATAAAAAAAAATGGGAAGTACCTGTATAGTAAGAGCCATATGACTCTGCGTCAACGAAGTACGCCACTAGTAGTTTGCCACTTTAATAGACTAAGTTTCGTACATAATTCTAGAACTGTATATTCTTTGATAACGTATTCCCTAGTAGTCCGGAATTGTTACGAAAAGCGTGATATGTATTTTACTTTTTGCCACTATAGTATTTAAAATATTAACGTAATCGTTCGGAAATAGATACACATGTACATTATGTATTAGTTGCAATTCTGAATTAAATAAATTGAATTTGAATATTACTTGTTCGTCTTTTTTTTATGGTATAAGGGGGCAAACGAGCAGACGGGTCACCTGATGGTAAGCAACTACCGCCGCCCATGGACACCTGCAACTCAAACGTCACAAGTGAAAGGCAACCTCACTCACTCAGTGAAAGGCAACGAAAGAATTGCTCAACAACGGTTTTTTGTGAGGCCGTAGTATCACTCCGGTCGAGCCGGCCCATTCGTGCCGAAGCATGGCTCTCCCACTGTAGTCTAATAATTCACACAAAAATATATAAAATGTTTCTAAGCTCAGTACGTTTGTTTGAGAGTGTACCTGCGCAACATTCGTTTTGCAGCTAACTTCACTGAAAGTTATGTGGCGCGTGCTATACTAATAGATGATAAAATGATTTACTATATTAAATATCAGTGAATAAGAGTTTAAAACAAATGAGAAATAGACGCGATGGTATTCGCCAATAAACCTTGTCTAACTCCATGAATAACTTTTGCAGTTACTATATAATATAATATCGAATTTGGGTGCCTACCTATAGCCTTATAAATGCAAACCATGTGTGATTTCTTAATTGTAAGGCTTTTAACAGGCACACGTGATGTCAAAATGCAGGTAAGGTCACAAGATCCTAATTTTTAAGCAATGCAATATCATACACAAATAAAGACTATTTTGTTAAAAAGAAATTAAATTTAAATATTAATATAAATAACGTCATTGGCGAACCCCACTGTGCACAGTTTAGTTATTTAATGTTGAATATTATTATGAATGTCCGACAAAAAATAATCATCATAACTAACTTGCGGACTTGTCGGACTTGCGCTTTACCTAAGTTCTCCACTTGGATGAAGTACGGGAACCTATAAAGTCCCATGCTCCAAATTATATAATAAAATCTTAATTTGTATATCAAATTTAATAAAAATTTAACTATTATAGACTCAAGCATTTGTTTCATCAATCATCATCAACAGCCTTTAATAGTCCACTGCTGGATATAGGCCTCTCTTTAACAAGGAGGTTTTTGCCTACTATACCACGCTGGCCAGGCCAGTTGGTATAGGGTTTGTTTCAAGTTTTCCTTCTTTGCAGTGCTGTTGTCCTTTGTAAATTGCTCCCTTAGTCGGCTCTTACGACACCCATGGGATGAATAGGGATGCATTTCTTTATGTTTCTTTATTATTTTTTTAGTCTCCTCTGTCTCGTATTTTTCTCTTACTCATAATTGTCATCATAACTACAATAAAGATTAAAATTATGATGATCTAAGAAGTCATTTAGCTCGTTCCTATGGAGCTATCTCTATTGTTCTTACCATAGGTCGGTACCCGGCTCCGGTTGTCGCCTGCATGGGCTGTGGAGTCCACGTGGTGCCAGGTTTGGATGCATTCTTCGGCGAGTTCCACTGCATCGGTCTATCACCACAAGGGTGTGAGTACGTACGGTCATGCTCGACCAGGGCGAAAGCATTTAGAATTACGCTTTGGACTACCAACCAACCTAACTTTGTATGCATAAAAATATTGAAATTCTCAAGAAACTCAATCCTAATGCTTTCGCCTACAAGTAGCCTTCGTCTTAACGAAATAATTAATACACGAAGTGTACTTATTCTTTAAATCAAAATGTGTGGTGATTTAAAATCCTAAAGTTTAGTATTAAAACGTAGTTACTGTTAAATTAAGAAAAGGCGACTTGTTCACGGTCGTATAATAATTCAAAAAGGGTGCTCGTCACGGCATTTCAAAAAGAGCTGCTGTGACATTAACTAGCTAAGTTAATCACGCGACGCCATTCGAAAATATTACTTGCGCATTGTTTCAGTCAAAAAGTAATAAAAAAATATCTTTGTAAAGTAATGTTTACAAGCAAGTGAGCTGTTTTAATCTTCCAGTGTCAATACTGCCGCTGTAATGGTAGCAAAAGGGATATTCTCAGCACGAATATTTTTACAATTAAAAATTAATAAAAGTTTATTTTAATACCATGCATTAGGCAATATATAGTAAAATGTAATACAAAAAACGATATTGTAAAATCAAAGCTAATGCATAGTAACATATAAGAATTCTTTCACGCTTTATTACCAGCTGAGGTCGGTAGGTCCCATAAAGGGCAAATTACCACGAATTAAAGCCTAACTCTGAGTATTTAATTACCCCTTCCAAAAATTAAGGTCAGCCAGTAGAAATATCGTCACCAATATGTGTCATATTTATAATTTTTGAGGAACAATTAAATTCTATCTGAGCAAGCAGTTATAAATGCATATGTATGGTGCCAACATACTAAAGTGGCAGCCCCGACGTTAAATATCATTTTGTGCTGACTTTCTCTGTTATGTGTTCAGTTTTAAACTGTTCAATAATTACGTAGGATAAGACAACCGCCCTAAAATTATCAATAAGTGAAGAGGTATTTGGCCAAGTATGTGGTTATGCAAATTTAACCGTAATGGATAGGTCGATTAGATTGTCATTTGCATGATATAGTAAATTCTCTTAATTTATTTTATCCTGTCAAATAAATTAAAAAAACAAAAATATTTAATCTGTGTATATAGTTGTACTTTTGACTGAAACAAATTCAAACTACTTAGCACATGATATGTAATGAGTGTGACCAATATAAAAAAAAGATTTAAAATAAATGTTGCCACTTACTTCTGTGCTGTGGCTGTCTTGTTGATACTCAGATTGTTGGCCAAAGAAGCGAGCGAAGAGTCCAGGTCACCTGTCAATACTTTGCCTGACTGTTGTTGGGGCTGCTGACCTATAATGACGCTTGGATTAGGTTTTTTTGACATAAGGTATGTTTTAATTTGTGACAGTGACAACCAAAACATATTGTTCTTCACAAAACACTGCTAGTACTTACAACATCGAAGTGAAATCACTTACACGATCTCCGGAGTTTATGTACTAGTATTAATGAACATAAAGACGCCATTGACTTATTAAATTAATAAACAATACAAAATAAACATTAGGGCATGCCTAGGGTTTAGCAGACATAAAAACTCAACAACTATTTCACTTCACTGAAGCCAACCTGATGTCTAAAAAAGCATGGTCAGTTTAAAAACAATTTAATATTTGTAATGTAGAAGCCAAGCTATGTTTTTTTGATATTTTAGAACAAAAAATAAAGAAAGCAAGTCGTAAATATCTGGATCTGTAAATAACACTTAATAAGCTCACATAGTCCGGTTATTAACAACTTAGCATTTACATATGCTAAGTTGTTAATAAAATAGAATCATTAACAATAATTGTCAATAAAGAGATATTGACAGACAATGCTTGTTTTTTGTCTCCAGCTTTGCTAAGGAGGGAAGTTTTTTTTTAAGGAATAGGGGGCAAACGAGCAGACGGATCAAATTATAGAATTGCCTGCAATTCATAACTTGTTCCACAAGCGCATTTTTTTATTTTTGTAGTGGTCTTATTTTATTTATAACTCCTCTAATTTACTTCTGATTATCTATTCCTGGGACTTCCCGGGTATCATTGTTGTTCCTGGTGTACAGGAGTTACGGTAGTGAGATGAGTCCCATTACAAGAATATTTTAAGAATTTACTTTATAAATTTTACATTATTAATTACGCATTGTTGTTGGGCGCTGATACTTATAAAATCTTGAACAAGAACGTGACCAAAAATAATTTAATCATGGTTTAGCGTTCTCAATTATGGTAAATTAGGCGTATTTTCTTGCGCTACGTTTCATCCATGGTGTGAAAAGTTTATCTAACGTAATTCTTGTAGTGTTACTGCAGAAAATAAGACTGTACACAAGTTAATACTAAATACTGACTTATTTACAGATTAATGCCACAAAAAACCTGTGCAAAAGGGGTAAATAAAAAAAACATATAAGGTAATTGTGAAGGTGAATAGTGGTTTTTTTTTTGGCTCTCCTGAGTTTGGTATCCTTCATATACATGTCAGTTTTTAAAAGAAATTACTAGAATGATTAACTATCTGGTTTTTAATGTAGATATTAGGTGTTAAAAAGATCGGTTATTTCTAAACCGTTACCTTTTAAACCGTTTAGTAAGTATTAGTAAGCATTTTTCCAAAAATGTTTTTTGTTTGATTTTTGTTTTAGGAAAACGCTTCGCTTCTTTTCCTCTATATAATATATAGGGTACCAAAAACAAAACGCGCCATAACGTTCGAATAGGATTTTTCGATTATTAAAAACATGATAATGACACTGGCTGCAAGCTATTAAAAAAAAAAAACGACGAAAAAATAATCATTCAAATTTTCAAAATTCGAACCGGTGGCTGCCATCGGCATCATTGGTTGTCGCGCTGGTGAGCCGAACATCATTGGCTGAGACATCGGCATCGACATGACGTCACTGAAAGGCTGCGCTGCCATCGGTTGAGGCTGCTGAGTTATCGGCTGCTGGGATTTGGCCGGGGAGCCCCCGAGAGACATACGCATGACCTCTTCGAGATCATCAAAGGCTGATTTAGGTTGAGGAGGTATGACGGGAGGTGGGGGACGGGCCGGTGAGGCTGTGATCGGTTGGGTGGGATCACCCATACCCATGAAAGGGTTAGCCGCGGCAGCTTGCATGAGAAATAGTTGACATTTTATATTACAGTAAATACAAGTATACCCACAACCAGATAAAGATTTATTAAAGCAAGGGTGGAGATGCCGTGTCATTTGTTTATTCTGTTTTTAGAATTACAAATAAAATTACGATAAACAGATGCAAACTGAAATTAACAATATTTTGTATTATAATTCATTTTATTATTAAACAGTTTACTTTAAAAATTCAAAACAATTTTCTTTCTTAAACTTTCTTGTTATTACGACTTCACATCGAAATATCTACGAAATTTTTGTGACCGTTCGATTTTCTGACAAAAACTTAAAAATAAAGTAAAATGCCACGACATCCCCGCATAACTACAGAGTGTAAGCTCACCTGCGGTGTCAGTGTTATCGAAAACGTTAGAGAAGTTAGCCTCGGACACAAAGCTGTTGTTCTGCGGCGGGAAGGCGCCGAAGCCGTTGGTGGGCGGCGCGGCGCTGGCGGGGGGCGCGGCCGGCGCCCACAGCGGCGCGGGGGGCGCGGGGGCCGCCGCTAGAACGTGCGCACGCGCTACTTACGCAGCCGCCTACTCGCTACTCTTTGCTACCCTACGTGCGATCGAGCGTCCGTCGCTTCTACCCGTTACTTTAGACCTCCCCGCGTCGATCTACGTATATTTATTATGTACATGTATTTATTATGAATCAAACCCATTTTTTTATTTTATTAGTATATTACGCTTATTCCGATCACTATTTATATGCAAATTAGTGAAAGAATAGAGTAGACAGAGATGCATATTTTCAATTACATTTCTCTAGCGATAGTCTGTAAATAATTTACGACGCGTATAACATAAAAAAACATTATCAAATTAATTTAAGTGATATTATTTATGTACAAAAACATAAATTATGAGAAAATTTAATCTTCTTTGTCCTGTTACTTCTTGGAAAGTAGGTACTGCTTAGGATATTTTATTTACAATACTCAATAACCATTTCTAATAGCTATTTACTAAAAGTCATTCTACTATTGTAAATATTCCGTTTTCAAATGATATGTACATCTGCAGTCGCTTGGTATAATGACACGTAATCAACCCACAACCACTTAAGCGCGATTATTCTACAATTATCAATTTTCATTAGAATCTCCAAGTACAGCTGACTCCTTAACCCACTGAGTGACGTTTATTTTATGGTATAGATCAGCACTGCAAGTCGTATCATCTAGGATAGACTGACTAAAAGACCTTCTTCTTTCAATATAAAGTGAGAGAACCTGGGGTATTTTTAGAATAAAAGCATACGAGCAGAAGGGTGATGACCAGTGATTACCGCCGCGAATAGTAATAATAACTTCACACACACGGCTGTCTGATTTCAAACTAGGCAGAGCTAGTTCTATGGTAAACAGACTGCTCATAAACATACTTATAAATTTCTAAATACATACAAATTATAGATAAATTACATCCAGACTCAGAACAAACAGTCTTAGCAGGCTTAGCAGTCGGGGTCACTAACCATTAGACCAAAAGGCCCGACACCCAATGGACATTTGAGCACCCCTTCCTCTCAAAATGGGTGGAGGAGGTTTGTTTTCTGATAACCTCACTCACTCAGTAAAAAGCAACGAAAGAACTGGTTAACACCGGTTTTCTGTGACGCCATAATATGACTCCAATCGAGCTGGCCATGGCTCTCCTACAGTAAAATTTTATGCTGCCTTAATAACCCAAATCGTACAGGTGTAACATAGAACACAGCAGAAACCTGTTACAAACGGAGAACTACCCGAGATTTTATCGTTTCATTAATTTCAAGGTTTAAACTGTGCGGCATCCGTGTGGTGACGGATTTAAAATACTGCATTTCACCACCCTTATTCATCCTGTGGGTGTCGTAAGAGCCGACTAATGGAGCTAAACTACGCAGGACAACAGCCTATGCAAAAAGATGGAAAACATGACACAAACAATATACCAATCTGTCTGGCAAGCATGGTATAGTAGGCCAAAATCTTTGTAAGGAGAGGCTTATGTCCAGCAGTGGACTATTAAAGGCTGCTGATGTGATGATGTGAAACTGTGCAGCATCTTGGTGAGCTAAAGAGAGATTTACTATTATAAGCCATCCAGCATCTGGCTTAGCTCTAACTCTGCTACAAGCCCGTTAGTTTCAATCTCCCTGTGTCTACACCACAGCACAGATTTATGGGGTTTATCTTCGACAGGGTCGTAGAATTGGACGGCAGTAATGGCGGTGGTATATAAACCTTTCAGCATTGCAAAATATAGTGCAAATTGTTGCAGAGTGGCCAGAAACAACCACATATCAGGGCTTTCTCTTTGCAACACATCCTGCTTAGCCAATTAAAAGACTAACTTTTAATTGGCTAAGCAGGATGTGTTTTATCGTGCCATTGTAAATTAGACTCAGTAATATGGTTCTGTAGTTCTTCTGCAGCTGAAACACTGCGAACCCGGCCTTTTTACTCCGTCATCGAAACTTAATTCTTATAAAGATCCATCTAAGGAACGGTTTCGGTGTAGGTCGGTTCGACTTTGAGATCGCTATTGCTAAGATTCTTACATTACCATGACAATCATGGTAATGTAAGAATCACAGCAATGAAGGTTACTTCTCTTTTATACAGGTCTTGTATACAGGTCGACCTATCCAGTTCGATGAATTCGAGAATAGTCGGGTATACTCAATACAAACGTGAGTAAAACTGTTATGTCCTTGATTAATTACATTGCAGATTTGAGTCACAAATGGCAAAAGGAGGCACTGTTACTTGGAGTGAACAATGTCGTTTCGATTAAACCGATATTGCAATAGGATGTATTTTTCTCTTTGCAACGAAACTTACATTTTTATCAATTAATTATAAATTATATACATAAAACCATTATTCATTTTAATTTTATACAACAAATTTCATTTTGAACGCTAAATAGCAGAAGTTGGTAGCAAAGGAGGTAGCCAGTTTGCGGAGCATTGAGTTTACATACCGAAACATCTAGAACTTTACTTTTTATCTGTTTTTATTATCTTAATTTCATGTTAAATTTTATGTCTAGGGTTATTATCAGTATGTAAACTACAATGCAGTACTTTTTACAATTTTAAGAGTACAATTAATAACAATGCAGTACTACCAAAGTGGTAGTTTTTTAATTAGGTTAAGTATTTAGTAACAGATAGATATATTTGATTGAAATGTACAAAATTAAAATCATAACTAATGTATAGTCAGCAGTGAAAGTACCTTCACGCAATCCAGTGAAATGGTGAAATTCTGAATTATTTTTTTATTTCGCACCAGAATTTCAAGTGTTTTCAAATATTAATAGAGCTGACTGTACATAATCAAATTTACGTTCCATTTACAAATTGTTTTTTTTTCTACAAGTCACCAGTACTTATCCTAATAATTATTATTTAAAAATAAAATATTGTAGACATATCTATATACTGCATCGATATTCATTTTCTACTTACTTTTTGAATGGGTTATTCAATTATGAACTTTGTATGGGTATAGAAATAGAGTGTATAGTGCCTCAACCATCCCCAAAGCACGGGATGTGCTTACTATACAGTGTACGGTCTATGTGTAGTGCTGTAATTTTAATTCTACAAGCCCGGAAAAGATATTTACAGAATTTTTTGATAGTGACTTTAGTGTTGACCGGTAAGGTGTAACTCTCTTATCCGAAGTGAAGAATGTTGAATCTTTCAGCAGCAAAATACGTTTGTGAGGATTGTAAAAATACATTATTATTCTTAATTATTAGTCTTTTCTTTACTTTGAGTATTGAGTATGTTAGATTTACTTTTGTATTAGGACTTAGGAATGATTAAAACACAATAATTTAGTGTCTTATTAACAGAGGTTTAGTGAACTTGTGAATTGTATTTAGTTATTTTTAATTATTTACATTTTAGTAACTGTTTTATTGTTTAAATAGACATCTAAAATGTAACATACATCATACAAAGTATAAAAACGACGTTTATCTTTATAAAAACAAATAACTGTCATTTTTACAGTTCATGAATTCTGTAATTTTCAGTTTTGCCGTTTACGAGTTCACAACAAACATCAAAAATAAAAAAAATCGCGTAATTAAACTTAAAAAAAGACTAATGTAATACGCCAATCAGCATTAATGAACTGTCAAAACCAAAAATTAAATATTTAAAAATCTATTTTATAAGATTCTTACCTCCAAACATATCAGCGAAAGGATTACTCAACGAGAGTAAATCTTCCGAAGCCTTGCTCGCAGTGCTGGTGGTGTCCGCAGGACTAGGCCCGAAGAGGTCCACTATGGATTGATTCTGATTGTTCGGCGCCGACGACAAGAAAGGATTGTTCGCGGCATTCGTGGGAGATTGCACTTTATTCTGTAGAGAATAAGATTTATTTTCCATTATTTTTAAGCGTAATCGTAATGTGGACCTTTACCGATCACACTTAAGGCGGCTTTCACCTATTGAACGAGAACATTATCACTTGATAAATAGATAATTTCAAGTGGGCTTTATAGCTGATACTAACGTATTAGCTAATTTAAGACATAAAGGCTTGAAATTAAAATTGAATATTATATGATATTGATAGATGTGTAATGCATTAATTTTATATAATTACAGTGAGAACATTTTCAATAGAATATTTTGGATCAGTGATGGAAGAGTAGCATCATCAATGGATGGTGACCTACTAGGTAGAAAGTATAATTAGAAAGTAGGCAGGCAGAGCCGAAGGGAGAAGCAGAATTCACGTAAAACAGTTGGACACTGCCAGATTTGAAAGAGCAATAGGATTTCCCTGGTGCTATATAAATACTTACCACTAACAAAGATTGTGGCTTTATACTTTTATTATCTTTATATATATAATTTGTGTGCGTGTGTATGTGACTGAACTCCTCCTATACGGCTGGACCAATTTTAATGAATTAATTGTGTGTGTTTAAGTGGATTCGAGAATGGTTTAGATTAAAAAACACGTGTGTACTACAAGACAACGTCTGTCCGGACAGCTAGAATTATATATATAATATGTGTATACTATTGATTTAAGAGTTTGAATATGTAATCTGATGCTTGTGTATTATAAATAGTATCGACAATATTGTGAATAAATTATAAAATTAATGTAATAATTTTACATAAAACATAGATAATAATAAAACGGAAAATGATGACAAATTTACACAATGAAACACAACACACTTTTACCCAGAATAAGTACATACAAATTTACATAGAAACACCCAGACAAAATTTAAAAATTAAATGTAAATGTACACAAATGTTTGAATGGAGTGGGAATCGAACCCGCGATCTTTCGATTAGCAGTCCGTTACACAAACCACTAAACCATCGTTCACCGTCACTACCAACGTCTTTTTATCTGACCGACAAGCAATGACATAGCTTTTGATCCTTATCTAGCGTGTTACTTCCTATATAACTGCATCTCGCTTGCGCATGTTTACAGTGAACTTAGCTATGAAATACCATCAAATAACTATCTGTCGGTTTACAACCGATTGAAAAACAGATAACTTTATTCGCTTGACAAACAGTAAGATAAATTTATTCCAAGTTAGTTGTCTTATAGTATAAAATGAACCTAAATGAACTCGATTTAAGCACTTTTTACTTACCATCTTCAACTTCACTTATCAACTTCACCAATAATAATATTATGAAGCGGATTTTGTCTGTTCATTTTATGTGGAAAACGAGCAACCGGGTATTACAAATGACTACCGCAACTTAACAAACATACATGAAACGGACACAAAGGACACCCAGACTCGAACAACTCCCGCATTAGGATATATCCTGCGTCGCGGGGGATTTAACAAACATACATGAAACGGGCACAAACAACATCCAGACTCAGAACAATGATTAGTGGATCACACTAAGATCCAATGTGGGAATCGAACCCATCACACTTAGTGCAGCAGGAAGAGGCGTGGCGACCGCTTAAACCACTACGCCGTCCGCGCAGTCTTCACTTCACAGTCAGCACTTGTAACTCAAGAGACAAGTGAGTTGGCGCATTTTGAATACCTTCCCTTTCTAGAATTGTGATGGAGGGGACTGGGCTTCTGGTAACCTCCCTCACTCCGTGAAAAGCAGTTTAGTCCCCCCCCCCCCAAGAATCAGGGGGAAGGTTTGGTCTCCGGTAACTTAACTCACTCGTTGAAAGGAAATGATTGCTTAACACCAGTTTACAGTGAGGCCGTGGCATCACACCGGGCAGCCGACCCATTGATGACGAAGCATGACTCTCCCACGAACAGTATAACGGTATATCTGGAACTGCCAGTCGGCAACATTCAAGACTATGTTTAACATCACAATCTTTAGGACCAAAGTAGTAACCACAACCACCGATGAAAACGGTTATAGAAAAACCAACTATTTAAATAACTACATCTTCACAAGTCTATGAAATGACTATGAAATCTTTGCCCCCATGACGTACACACATAAATATTTTTAGTATATACACAATCGAAGGGCGTCTTCTGTAAGCTTATACAAATATAAAACATATTATGCCGAATGACAGAACAGCACCGCAACCAAAGCCGATGAGAACAACCTCAAAAGCGAACGCTGTACCCGGAATAGTCAACTATCTTACTACAAGATCAGTAATTTCCTCCTCGCCCGTCACTTCCCCGCCCTGGTATAATCGGACCTGAAATGTTCATTTTAGTGTGAGTTACTCTTCGACTAGAACTTACCTGGTGTGGCGGACCTGGTCATTCGCATATAGTTACCGTTAAATTATACAATATTAATAGCTAAATTTAGGAAGTAATTTTGTATCATACCATTACGTATGTTACATGATGCATTTACACAGTACATAATAACAATCATTTGTTCTGTTAAGTAATATTCCAAAACTAAATATATCACTGGCTGTCTTGTATCGTTTGAATGAAAACTCACATTATGCAGCTGCAACAGGTTAACACGGGCCAACAAAATTTGACAAAGTTTCTTGCCCAGAAACTTTTCAGAAAGGATTTTGGTGCACTGAATCCGAATTCGGCCGCAGGATTGCTGTATCACGTCAGGTTTTTGAGATATTTTAACTTAAAAGGGCAAAAAACACAATATTTGCCCATTTTTAAGTTTATGTAACCCTTCAAATGTTATTATGTATAAAAAGCGGGGTATCTTAAAGTTCAAGTCTTTAGTTTTCAACTGACGTTGAGTTTGCTTAAATATCTTTTTTTTTCACCTCCAAACCAATCAAACACTGCCCACTCCGAGTTCAGCTAAGCAAACCTTTAACTGAAGTACTAGCCTCTGAACTAAGCAAACCCTGTTCACTACTATCTCAGCGAAAAAAAAAAAGATATTTAAGAAAACTTCGTCATTTAAAAGCTGAATACTTGAATTTTAAGATACCCTGTGTACTTTAGACATAATATAATTTGAAGGGTTACATAACCTGAGAAATGGCCAAAAATAGCGTTTTTTGCACTTTCAGGTTAGAATATCTCAAAAACCTGACGCGATAGAGCAATTCTGCTAGCGGATTTGGATTCGGCGCACCAAAATCCTTCTGGAAAGTATACTAGGTTTCTGGGTATTTTTTTTTGTTGACCTGTGTAATGTAACCCATTCTCACCAGGGTTTTTATCATAGATTCTAAAGAATTACTAAACTAGACGTTATTTTAATTATTTGGCTTGTCCAATGAGCGTAGTGCTGGCTACAGCCTATGATGTGCTGTACATTTTAGTCCTTAATACCGGACATACTAGCACACATCAAAAAAATGTTGTGGTATATTTAATAGTGCCATTGTATCTACCTGTGAATTGAAAAAGAGGTGCCATGAGTTTGGTTGCCCTTTCTTCTCATAAGGCTCAACCCCTTGGAAACGGGCGGTCGTAGATCGGCACAGGCATATCATTGATTTTGTATGGGTTTGATTTTTGTTAAATTTATTTGCTTACTATTTGACAAAACAGAGATCGTTGCTTTCGTGTGTGTCGATCTATGACTTTAGAGTCTACACAAAAGACGATTTCAAACAATTTTGAAAATTTTATGAAATAAAGAGTGTTTGAGTTTGTATGTGTATTATAATTAGTGAGTATAAAGCGGTATTACCTTATACTGGTTCATGGCGGCCTCCTCCTCGGCCAGGGCCTGCTGCTTGAGCGTGTCGTCGATGAAGAGCGGCGCGGCGCCGTTGGGCTGGTTGTCGAGGCGCGTGGAGGCGGCCGCGTTGCCGAACGACGACGACGTCGACGACAGCGCGCCCATCACGCTCGCCACGTTCTTTTGGGCGCTGACAATTTCAAACACGGGTTTGGTGTTAGACAGGTGTAGTGGTTGTGGGGTAATATATTACAAACGGATAGTGATGTAAAACGATTAATATTAATGAATTGAAAATGTTTGTTCAATTTAAACGCTGCCTCAGTGGTGTAGTACGGTATGTGACTGCAGTCCACGAAGCCTCGAGTTCGATTCCCCCAAAATTTTATAGGGTTTTTCTCAGAGGAAAAAAAAACCTAAGTTCCGCCTTATATAATAGACAGCTATCTGGTAGTAAAATCCAGAATAAACAGACAGACAGGCGGTAAAAAAATATTTAAACTGGTTTTGGCATAGGTATCGTGCAAATAACCTTGTGAACATGAAAAAAAAACGATTATTTTGACATTACAACACAGTCACTTTAATTATATTTATTTGTATAAGCAATGTTTTCTTCTGGTGTTGAAAAGATGCATATTTTTTGATTACGAAGATATTTTAGCGTAAGTTACTTAACAAACTCAGTGAGTCCGAGTCACTACTCCAACAAATCTTATTCCAGTAAAAATGTATCGCCATTATTTAATTTGAATTTCTTTTATTAATTTGTTTTTATTTGACATTATTTCAGTGTATGGTAATAGACTTTACAACAACACAAAAAAAGTTGAACTCGCATGCGTACTAAACTTATTTTATTTTTCCGTGTAAATTTATATAATTATCTTAGACTGTCAAATCAATAGTTCCAAGTTTTTACTAACCATTAAGAACAAATCACAGAATTTTCCATCATTGCATCAACCATTCATTCGTAGTTAAAGGACAACACATATCATAATTTTTGCAAACTCATTTTGAAACCTCAAAAGTGGTTTAGAAATGTCAGAAATACAGGCATTAGTTCCATGCTCCATTGTGATAAATGCCAAACAAACTTGGCATTATGCATTCACGTTAATACAATACACACCTAGCAGTCTGCGTGGGAGTATTGGCAGCAGATCCTTTTTTCCCTTCCAGAGAAGCGAGGTGTCCCTCTAGCGCGTCGAGTAAACTACTTGGGGCTTTCGTAAGGTCTGGGATGTCTCCTTTGTCAATACCCACGTTCTCTGCCACCTGAAAAAATGGAGGATTTTTTTTTTGTTAAGGACACATGCAGAGATGGATGAACTAACCAAATTTTTAGTTTGAACTAACCCTGGATCATATTATTAAGCAGAAAGTGTTTTTTTTTTATTATATTGGGAGACAAACGAACAGTCGGTTTATCTGATGGTAAGTGACTACCACCGACCATGAACACTTGCAATTCAGGAGTCGATAAGTGCGTTGCAGGCTTGACTGTTTGTTTCGCTCTTTCAACATAGAGTCCCTCTGACCTAACTAATTAACATAGTTACTGATACCATCAGCAGAGAACGAAAGGTAATTCTGCAACTGTTATTGCTTATTTATAAGTTCTAACAAAATGTGGAGAAACAGAAGATATCCAAAAAGGATAGCTGAAATCATTTTAATCCATTCACGTTAAGAAAATAGTGACGAATCGACCAAACCCCGATTGCTGACCAATCACGTTTCAAGTTTTGAAACGATAAATCTGAGGGCCTTGCGATTCATGCAGATTTCAGTATGGGCTAATCGCAACAGTTTCGGGGTTTGAAAGATGCGTCACTATTTTATTAACGTGAATGCACTATACTGACTTTAGCTATTCTTTTTAGAGATATCCTCTGTTCGCCACATTTTTTTAGAACTTACGCGAATAGACTATAGTCACGTATGCATGTTGGGAATACCTAAAATGTTATTGTCCTGGCGGGTTGCCTTCTGTCCATGGGTAGAGCGTCACATCCGTGTGTGTACTCCCGGAATACATACATAAGTTATACCTTATATCTTTAATAAATATAAATATAAACTGACAAAACTATGTTCTGAAGTATTTCTTAGTCTAAGGGAGCGAAATACGCAGGACACCAGCACTGCAGAGAGAAGGAAAACTTGACACAAACCCTATACCAACCCGTCTGGCCAGCGTGGTATAGTAGGCCAAAACCTCCTTTCTAAGAAGAGGCCTATGTCCAGCAGTGGACTGTTAAAGGCTGTTGATGATTGATGAATCACTATTAAATTGAGTGATTGAATGCTCAGGGACATTGAGCTATATGCTCAGGTATTACTCCATCTGAAGTATTATATGTACTTCTAAGGATTCCATGGAATTGTAAAACAGTTTGACTTTGTGAATAACCGTAAATAAATCGCTTCGCTGTTTGTATTAATTGGATAATGGTGTGGCTATGGCTATAGAAATTGTTTTCGCAATTCATATTATATAATATAATTATGTATGTGACGACCGGATGGCTTAGTGGTTTGTGTAACGGACTCGATTTCCGCTCAAGTCAAACATTTGTGTGCATGAACATTTAACACATTTGGTTTGGTCTGGGTGTTTCTATGTATAATAAGTATGTATTTCATCAGTTATCTAGTACCCATAGTACAAGCTCTGCTTAGTTTGGGACTAGATGGCGTTGTGTGAATGTGGTAGAATATTATTATTATTGTGTATATATATATCAAGTAGGCTGATGTCGACTTTCAGACTACTACGATACGGCTGAACTTCGATTTTTTACATAGAGCGACTACAACCCAAGTACTACGTTATATCTAAGTTCAGTAGATACGACTGTTGTCGAACTTTTTAGGGTCCAAATACGAGTAACAATTGCCACAGATGTTCGTATGGCAAACGGAACGACAGCATAACGTGCTCTCCATTGCACGATATTAATTTTGTGTGCTAATACAATCAAAGACACACAGTTATAGATATATACACTCCTGCCTATATTCCCGAAGAGCGAAACGTGACAGAGGCCTCTGCCTAAAATTTACAGCTGATCAACCTGCCGAAATTTACAGGACTTAATACTAAAGATTTTACACATGTCCCTATAACATCTTGAACAAACATTCGATTCGATCGCAGAATTTTCACTCTTAGCACAGTTGCAAAAAGAACCTTTCCTCAATCAAGTTCTTTAATAACTGATTTTAGAATTATGGATCAACCTGACGTGTATTCACTAAATTATCAGACGGCGAATTCTTATATATAAAGATCGGTCACAATTCAGTTCCATAAAAGGTATTTTCGTAGTAAAATAACAAAGTATTAATAAGACTAGCGGATTACCGATTCAATCCTCAATCACAATACGATATAATCACATTACAGTCAACGTTTGATGTTTAATACTTCACTACGAAAATACCTTTTATGACAGTTGTGAGATCGAACTTTTGTTACGAGAATGGACCTACAGGTGTATTTTTTGTCCCCTTTAAACATTTGTACACAGTACATACCTTTAAGAACTCTCCAACTCTATCCATTCTTATGAGGAACTTCTTATAGAGATCGAGAGCCTCGCGGCAGTTCTTCTTGTTCATATCAAAGTATTTCTCTAAGAGATTTATTATACCGTCGTTGTAGCACGCGAACAATCTGGAAAATTACAAGTTTGGTCGTTAGAATATATTTACATTTGTAATTACAATACAGCCCTGGTTTAATTATAGATCATAGAAGATCTCTCTCTGTCAACCTAAATGTATTACAATTCGTTTGTCAAGCAATTGCAAATAATTTTAATATTAATTGGGTATACGATGTTAGATGTACAGAAGAGTACTTAAGGTACCCTTTACCAATAAAAAGCTACTTGTTCTGCTTTCAAATTAACTGTAGTGACGATTTGAATTCAACGTAAAATAATATCTTATATTATCATATCTATAGAATATAAATATTAAAATATTATTGGTATAAAAATGTAATATTAGAATATCGGTCCCTTATAGTTATTGTGCTGATATGGTAACCATTTCAGATGCACCAAATTAATATTTTTAAAACAAGGGTTACAAACAATGTTAATAATTTTGTTTTTCTATAACGTGTGGTGATGGAGTCCCCACCTCTGTTCATCCTCGAGCCTATGAGCCGATTAAAGGAGCAAACTACGCTGGACAACAGCATTGCAAAGAGAAGTAAAACTTTAAACAAACCCTATACCAACCCGTGATGTAGTAGGCCTGTAGGCCAAAACCTCATTCTAAGGATTGAATGATTATGTATGTTCCTTTTTTACCTAAGAGCATATAAGTAAGTATATAAAAAAGCGTTCACCTGATGAGATCCCTGAAGAGCAGCATGAAGCACATATTGATGACGCCATTAGTAAGATCATTTGCAGTGCAGTCGAACTCCAGTAAACCGTCCAGCTGTGCTTGAAGCACTGGCAACGTTTTTAGCAGTTTCTCGGCATTCATCATACGGAGGGAGCCTTCTTCTTTACTGTTGACGATTATTTTGTAATTTAATAAACATATCACAACGAAAACCGACCTAAATCTTTTATCTTTTTTAAAAGACAACTCCCGCATTAGGAATATATCCTGTGTCGCGGGGGACTTTACAACCATGCATGAAACGGATACAAAGAACACCCCGACTCAGAACAACAATTTGTGGATCACACAAAGTGTCGTCTCATGTGGGGATCGAACCCACAACAACCACTACGCCATCCGTGCAGTCAATGAAAACTTTCATTTTGATGATGTTATTTACCTCCAAACTGTCATTATTTCATCACAGTTTCTGATAAAATCTTGATTAGACTAAACCATTCTGTAGTCGCATTGATGAAGCCCCGCACCCTGACCAAAGTGACTAATCTGGTTCGAAGCGTTCGTTTGAAACGATAGTTTCTTGGAACCTGATTGGTCAGCACCAGGGCCTTCCTTTCTAGGGTATACCTGGTTCCCCGGCTATTAGTACCCGGCGAAGGCGTGCGGTTTTAGTCGGTTCGAGTCCGACATGCCACCGACAGGTGGTATCCGAGGGGATTTCCGCACGGAAAAAAAAAAAAAAAAAAAAAGGGAGCGGAGCTTGATCCACGCGTCACTATTTTCTTAAAAAGAATGGACTATAGATTGTTCTGAACCAACGATTAATGTATCAGGTAAAGTTCAAAATGCTTGAGTAAACTTTTCATTGTATTAATTAATAATGTAATAAAATAAACGAATGAAGAACTTTCATATGCATAATTCTTTATTTGGTCTGGATTTTAATTTGGACTTTATTTGATCTTGACTTCTGAGTCACTGGTTGTGATTTTATTTCCAAGTAACTATACTGATTTATATGAGTATAATTATTAGCAGTAATATGATGGCCGGGTGTAATTTCCTCAAGTTTATTTAGGAAAATATCCTGTGACGCGGGCGACTTTACAAACATACATGAAACGGACACAACAACACCATTATTGGTTAAGAGGACCTTTTGAACATTATTTTTTTAAATGTTTTGTCAACTTATTATTTAATACTTGACTTAGGTGTTTAAGAGGTCTTTTAAGTAAAATAGAGGTGTCGGCTCCTCATGTATTTAGTACTTACCCCCTCTTGACCTTGCAGAAGTCGAAGGCAACAGTCCTGTATGACAGCGCCTTCTCGTTGAGGTACTTGGCGTACCGACGGATGAACGGAGACATGTCATATCCTACACATAGAAATAGTATGAAATATGCCTTTTTGATATACAGGCTGTTACAAATAGGTGTGGTCATATTTTGAGGTCCCATAGTAGACCCCGACAAAACTTAAAGCCGTAAATTTTAGGATAAATCGACAATTTTAATACCGAAAAATAAATTTGATAACTTAATATTTGACTAATAAAGCTAATATTTCTTATGAGAGCGCAGTGATATACACGAAACTTTGGGTATTTAATACCAAGCCTGATGTTGGAATGTCGAAAATCTGATTCAGAAAATGTCTTCATAAAAACATAATTATTGAAAAAAACAAAAACCATGACTACGTGAAAATGTTAACATACTTACTTAAAATTCACAAACCTTCTATTTTAATTTTTATAATTTTCATATGTAACACACAATTTATAAAAATCTAACGACACCTCAAACGCCAAAACCGAAGTCGTTTAGGCTACAGAGCGTGCCAATGAAATATAATAGTAGGTATTTGAAAAACCTAACCCTCTTGACACAGTCGGGTAAAATGATAAAATAACAAAATCTAAAAAATTATAATACGTCATTAAAAAAATTGCACCTACACAAAGAAAAGAATTTTGCAATGAAAAATTTAACCTCCATTTCTTCTTCAAGCAAAATCAACTATTTATTGGTTGCACGTAAACCTCTTAAAATTTGACCACACCTTTGTAACACCATGTACATCTAACGATGTTATATTGCTTGTGCTGGTGCAGTAAAAAGAAAATGTAACATGCATGGCTTTTATTGGCGGAATTGGTGAGCAATTTTCCTTTCCCACTGACCTATTGACGTCTGAACTCCAAGTGGCCTCATATGGTGTTTGTTAAACCATTAAATACTATTTAGGGAATTTTACATTGTTATTACAATACTAAATTGAAATAAAAACAGGTTTTTAAATATTAACTATACCTACTACGGTGCATAAAGCCAATCAAAAAACCGTGCAACAATGCCGACCTGTAGAATTCTATGTATGTTCGAATGTTTAGTTCCTTGCATTTTGAGCGCAATTATTGATAAGACATTCTTCAAATATTCGTTATTTATATAATAACTTATAGGAACATGGTTTACATTATTTCATTTGAATCTAAGTAATGTAATTCTCATTTATTTACCAGCATATTTAAAATACACATAAACAAACGTATTGAATGAATATGAATGTTTTTTTTTTATCGTGTTATTAAAAAAATGGAATTTAATTGTAAACTTAGAACTAGAGAAATTAAAATAAGATACTTAAGGAAATTCTTTCTTTTATTATATTAAAACAATAGATAGAAATGGCTTCTATCCAATCCAAATTATGTATATTGTTTTTAAATAGACAATGGCATAACTTGAGAAACCCACATTACTAAAATCTCCGTATTATTCCTTAAGCGTTTGATTTTAAATTAAAAATTAAGACAAGATTAAACCTATTTATAATAGGTTATTTTAAAACTTTTAATGGTAGTTTTAGAGAACAAACACATCAGTCGAACATACATAGGCTTAAGTATAAAATAGCATAATTAGAATTTTATCAATCTGCTAGGCGTGACCTAAATAAACCTAAAAATGAGTCGATTCAACTGTTAACTAGATATCTCGACTAATTTATTATCAGCCATAATGAATATTAAGTGATTTGTGTAATGTCTATTTTAATAGTTAATATTAATGATGTTCCTTGTTATAATATTGATATCTAAATAAAATAATGAAATCTTATTGGCATAAAATAATGGAGGTATTACTATACAAGATACTAGTGCGTAAGCATGATCGTAGCCGTTCATTGCTGGCTAACTATTAGTTTAAATCAAAACTAATTTTTACAAAAAAAAAAAACGGTATCTCTAACCCAATTCGTCGGTATCATGTTTTCTTGTGATACCGTAGCCAAGACATGAAATAGCAAGCACATACATGCCTATAAACAAAAAACTTACATGACTATATAATCTAGTTTTAACTCTAAAATTAATATTTATTCAAGAATTCACTAAACAATGTAGTCTTGAATAAATAAAACACTTACCTAATACTTATCCTAAAGAAAAGCGTACGACACAAACCTAACACAAATTATGTGCAAAAGAAAACAACGAAAAATTGCACCCAATCCAAGCGTAAAGCTACGAAAATAAAAACGGATAGACGTTTACAAAAAGCCGCCATTTTATAGAAACTCACCGATCCTCGCCCCGGCCGCGCCTTTTCAAGCATTAGGGAAAATTAAACTCTATTAGATATTGGTTTACAGACACTAATTACTAATCATTTAACAGTATTCAAATTGTATGAAGAATACTAAACTTTGTAAAAGGTGCTTCACATAAATTATCTGTGAACCTAAATAGGGTAGTAGTACCTATGCCTAGTATTATACACAAGTCCTGCAGAGCTCAATTGAGACAAAAGTGAACATAGTGTACTGTTTGCACCAGATAGTACCAGATATCTAGACATTGTGGTCGAAAAAAGAGCACATATAGATTTACTATCTGTTTTCCAGTGCAAGAGTGTACTTGCCCATATTGTAAGCTGTGCTTAAACTAAGCAGTTTATAAATACAATATTGGTTTATAGATACTAGTCATTTAGCAGTATTCAAGTTGTATGAAGAATACTAAACTTCGTAAAAGGTGGTTCACGTAAATTATCTGATAACCTGGGTACCTATTCCTAGTATGGGAACACAAATCCTTGAGAATATCAGAGCATAAGTTCTGCAGAATTCAGTTCAAACAAGTGATCAAAAATGTGAAAAATAACACTGTTTTTCAGTGCAAGTGTCTACTTGCCCATAGTGTAAGCTGTGCCTGAACTCAGCAGTTCAGGTCTAGATAGAGTTGGTCTTAAAACGTCATAAAAAATATTTTTATATGCCAAACCACCAACCTTCGCAAAAAATTGAACATACGAATGTTAATTTTAATAAAAAAAAAAAACAAATTTGATTAACAACAAAATTGCTGCAAAATAATAATGAAAGTGACACACTTTTGTCTTCAAGACCCGTGACGACTGGTTCAGTACACCTCATACGGTTCTGGTGTGAATTCAGTCTCAAAACTCATACAAAATGACACCTCATTTTGTTTTTATATAAAATTTGTTAATACAAAATAATTTTTGAAATACCTTGAAGCGCTTTATCTTTCTATAACAAAATATGGTCGACGACAATTCAATGGATTATTATAAATCCTTAAGAAATAAATCGGTGCATTAACTACTTCAGAGGGCCATGTGCGAGTTTAATTTACTTCTACTCGATGGTCACGGTGGCCGCGTTCAGCGCTACGATTGGCCCGCACTGAAATCTCCACCAATCACAACGCTAAACGCGCTCGCCGTCGAGAGCGAGTCGATGTGAAATAAACTTACACTTAGCCCTCTGATACGTTAACTGACTTATTACGTAACAGACAGGTACATATACAGGACATAGATAGGGTTGCCACTTCTTGCAATTAAGGTAGTAGTAAATCCGTTGTTAATAAAATATAGAACAAAGTACATTATATACAAAAGAGAATCTTCTAAATACTACGAGTATAAGTGTAAAACAAAATATTGCAACTCTTTATTGTTTTCTAAATTATGGAATTTTACACTACCGTGCGTAACGTCAATTGAGTATAACAAACAATGTTTGCATGTCAACCCTCACTAAGAAAATCTATTCTAAATATAGTAAGGAGCAACCCTACTAATGTAAACATTTTGGATTCGCTAACATGAACCTAGATTATTGCATTTATAATGTTGACACTATTTAAGTCCGGTTTTCCGTAAACAGAAAATACTATAACCAAAATACTCAAGATATTCAGTAAACATTTTTTGACCTTCACTTATAAACTACACATTTCATATCCGACTATGTAGATTGTTTGAGAATGCAAATATCTACACATAAATACTGCAAATGAAATCGCCTTTCAAATAAAAGAAATCGTCACCCGACTATTGCACTGGTTAATATTTTGAAAATAAATTTAAATATAAGTATTTTATCTCCTTCCAATGAGTTAAATCTGATTATTTTGAGTAACTATAAGCAATATTTCTAGCTATACAATTATGTACAATATGATGTGGGTAGTTACAAAACACACGGGAATTACCTGGATCACTTAACAGGTATAAAATAACTATGAGTTGCCTGGCGTTTCAAGTTTTATCAGGTTGAGCTGGTCGTGACAAAAGTCCACCTGTGACGTATGTGTATATGTAATGCCTACTCATCGCGTTACTTTACAAAGTAATTAATAATATTTACACATATACTATTTTTGGGGTAAAGGTGGTCAGTTCGATAGTTACAAAAACATCGTAATTTATATGTTTAATTATAAAATACAAGTTTTCGATTATTTTAAAATTAAAAACCAAAGACGTTATGGCTCTACTAGGGTCATATGGGTAGGGAGAAGCCACTGGCTTCCCCTGAAGAGGGGGGGGGGGGGGAGGGGTCATAAAATCACATGGCCCGGGTTCTCCGTAGACCAGGGCATTAGGCTGGGCGTCGGGGTGATTGTAATGGCAACACAACTTACCCCTGGCTCCTATATCCCCAAGGAGGCGGAGACACGAAGGGATTTTTCACCCTGTCAGAAAAAAGGGCCATAGAGGTATGTATCGTGGGAGAAACGGAAGAACTTAAACAGTTTCAAATACTAATTCCTAAATTATTATGACTACCGAGAAAGTTCATACTGACTTACTTACGAGTAAGCTAATAATTAATTCACCAAAATGAACTTTGTGACAACATCGAAAGTTATCTTTTAAATTGCTGATAAAATCAGTAATAAAGGTCTTTATTAACGACCGTAAAATCTTTAAGGAGTTGAGTGGCGTTCGTGTAATGGCTCTAGCACAATACGATGCCGAGGTCAAATCGGTGAAATTTATCAAGTTTAATTATACAATGTATAAAGAAGTTGTTGTACGAATTTAGAAGGAAATAAGAAAAACATTTCATGGGTCGGCTCAACCGGAGTGATACCACGACCTCAGAGAAAACCGGTGTTAAGCAATTCTTTAGTTGCCTTTCACTGAGTGAGTGAGGTTACCGGAATCTAAAACCCCCCCCCCCTACCCCCTCCCGCTGACTCGAGCGGCAGGGACTCCAAAGGCAGGAACGCACTTGTGACTTATGAGTTGCAGGTGTCCATGGGCGGCGGTAGTTGCTTACCATCAGGTGACCCGTCTGCTCGTTTGCCTCCTATACCATAAAAAACAAAAAAAAAAGTCTAGATGGATTGAAAGACAGGATACTGAAGGATCATAGAGGTGGCAGAAGTTCACTAGTCTTCATTTATACGAATCTAAACGGTGTCATTTCCAATTCAAATCAGTATTTAACAAAATAAATAAAATATTGCATTCACATTGTACATAATAATGGTTGGGACCACCTCAAAACCGTTTTGAGTTGAGTTGTGGAGATGGCAATCGCTCCACGTAAAAAATCGAAGTTCAGCCACATCGTAGTAGCCCAAAAGAAAGCCTACCCCCCACCTAGTTTGGGAAAAGGGTTCTGAGGAAGAAGTCTACCTATCCTACAAACTTTCCTTGGTATATTTTGTCATATCGACGATGAATCAATAAAACTAATTTAGTATATTTAGGAGACGAGAATGTCTCAATAGAGAAAATAAAAAGTTCCTATATCATTAATTTACAGCACACCAAGTCCATATATCGTAGTAATACCGACATCCCATAGAAAATATATATGCAAATGTAAGAAAATCACAATTCACACAGCAGCCGTGACGAGAGGCCGCCGTGTCATCGACCCCAAAGGTCACCGGTCAACCAATACACCATATGAATGCTCTAGAAGTGCTCGCGTAATACGGAATTATATCGTGTTTGTGTCGTAATGAATATATATTATAGCAAGTACTCTACTCTCGGCTTGTGGCTAAGTGGTGACCGAGTAGCTTAACACATTGCAAAGTTAAGCAATCCTAGCCAGGTTAGTCTATGGATGGGTGACCATTCTTAACAGATTGAGACCCCTTCGTTCCTAGGAGAGCACGTTAAGTCGTTGGTTCCGGTTCCCATACGAACATCTGTGTCAATCGTTACGGGTATTGGAGCCATCAAAAGTCCAACAACAGTCTTTCTGCAGAACTTCGATATCTCCTAGTAATTGGGTTGTGGAGGTCTGATGAAGTTCAGCCGTATCTTAGCCTACCAGACTTAAAGCCGACCCTACCTAGTTTGGGAAAAAGGTTTGGAGGAAAAAAAGTATATTGTATACTGGAGTTATTTAACTAACATAGATTACTTCGGTGATTTTCTTTTGTATAAATAATAATAATAAATAAGTAATAAGCTGTATTCTTCAACCTTTAACTGTTCTCCCATAGAGGTGATATACTTCAAATTTAAATTAAACCAACGAAGAACAAAAAAAATCGTATCGATATCAGTTCATAAATAGCAAAGATATCACGGAACGTAAACAAAAAAAAACAGTCGAATTAAGAATATCCTCCTTTTCAGATTAGCGCCATATATGAAAGCAGGACGCCAATATTACTTGGCAAAGTGTACACAGACTATCTTGGCCAGTATACGTATTGAAGCGGAAATAGTACACGAGCGATTCACTAGTTCCGTTACGTAATACCTTTTCAACACTACTATAGTACTCGAATGAAACTCGAGTGAGATTCACATTTGGAAACGAAAAGAAAGGTCACATCACTTACACAAAATTATTAAACATATAAATGCTGATAAATTGCAGAGCCCCTCCGCTGACGTCAACAAAATATGAAAATTATTCAAACTGACATTTTGCAATTTTAATTTACTTTCTGACCTCATCCTGAACTTTTTTGCGTGATCAGACTCCACAATTATTAATCCGTAGATATTTCTTCTTATTTAAAAGAGTTTACGATTTCAAGCCCTGATTAGTGATGTGCCGGCTCGTTATAAAATTGCGGATATTAGTCTTTTCGTTTTTCGAGTAAATAATATGATATCTATATTTTGACTTGCATTGCGCCTGACGTTTATCATGAGGAGTCTCATCTCGTTATAAAGATAGTCAAAATATTCCTTCTAACTGTTCATATTATTAGGAACTCCAAACATATATACTTACATACTTCAATATTTAATTTTAACAAACTAAATTTTAAAACTAAAAATTTAAGTTTAAGTCTCGTCGAAAAGTAACG